CATTTTGCTGATTACTCACTATCAAACGTGAATGTTGCATTAAACATTTCTTAAAGTCCACCGAAATGACGAAGTGAAATGGCCCCAAAAATGGGCTTTTAAAACATAGATTTGGATCTACTCTCTGATGATTCTCCTCAAAGTATAGGTAATCTCGTTCCTTTGCTTGTGACCAACCTTTTACTCAAGGGTTCATCATCGGGAAAAATTTTCCCCTCTTGTATAGCAGCGTTGCCGAGTTAAAATCTTCAAAATGGCATAGCTCGCTCGAAGGACTCTAGAAGTTGCGAAGTCGGAGAATATTTTTCGTTAATGAATTATTTAAGCTTCCTGTGCCCTGTAAATTACTGTAAATGCTTTTTTGCCTTTTTCTCGAGTTTAAAGTATCTAATATTTCATAATCTCGCAAACACTTGTCTAAAAACACCATTTTTTTCTGGTCTGGAAAAATGTGTAGATGCCTTTTCTTGTGCGAAAATTCTGAAATAAAAATAGACTATTCGAAATTTCTGCTAAAAATTACACTGATACTGTGAAAATATAATGCATTCATTTTTCTCTCGCGAGGGCCCAATGGAAAACTTTTTGATGAACCAATCAGAGAGAGGCGCGGACTCGAGATCTTCCGCAAAATTTCTTCGTGCAGGCGGCGCCACCGTCCACAGTTGAGTTATGTCATATGATTTTTCTAGGTTATGTTATTGTTATTGTCTGAGTCGGATTCAATTAAGAAAAGTTTCATAATCATTTGATTAAAGGATAAATCTGAATTTTCAGCGTCTAACCGCCCTGTAGTCATTACGTGGAATCAAAGTCAATCAAATCGTATATTGTTCTATGTCATTGAATCGCTTAAATTCGAGCATGTCGCTAAATGTCACTCGAAGGTGACAATGCTGCCGAAGTCTGGCTGAAAGTTGTATCGAAAAACAGGAAACGAAGGAAGACACCTGTATTTTCTTGTTCAGGAGAAGGTTCAATTGATGCCCATCAGCATTCAGCTGCTTATATAGAAAAGTGAGTTTCATTTAGTTCACCTAGTTTTGCTGACAACTCTCTCAGAATCCCATTGACTTAGGTATAAGGTATCAGATGAATTAAACTTTATCTGCATACTGATTTTGGAATGTTACGTATATAAGATGAAACTAATTTAAAATGGAGCTATTTGATTGTTTAGCCGTGTTGTTTGGGTAACTGGGGAGGCTGCTCATCGTGCTGAATAATTGACCAGCAGCCAAAGGCACCTTCATGCTGGCTGGTAACCAGTTTACAACTGGACGTATTTCTGTCAAACGGAACTATGTGCATTATGGCATGAGTCCTATTACGCTTATATTCTTAAGAGTCTCAGGGCTCATGTCTTAGTGCGCACAGTTCCGTTTGGCAGAAATACGTCCAACTGAACCCGACAAGTGTCCAATTTGGTTGCCCAAATGGCGCAGATGACCCATCAGTCTTATCTATCAAACCAATCTTCCAATATGCTTCATCTAAAACTGTCTGACACATTTTATCGATCCTTTTTTTTTTTTCAGGAGAGTAATTGAAGCGGAAAAGGAGGTTGAACACTCAGTGTTTTATTCCTCATTTCTGAACTCTTTGAATTTGAGCCTAAATGAAGTAGGTAGTACCATCCAAGTTATTCTGTGTTATGGAATTGGGAGTATCGCTGCAAGTGTCACAAGCCGGTTTCAATTAGCGCTAGTACTACTTCTAAAAAAGAGGTTTGTTGAGTATTATTTATTTCTTCCCCTATCCTATATCCTAAAACTCCCAGGTATCATGAAACACATATCGACGGTGATAGTCGGCAATCACATAACTCTGTTTGTAACGTCGCAGACTTCCTGTCATACTTTATTTTTTAAATGGAAAACTACTCAACGGCAGTTCTTTTTTTTTTTTCTTTTCAAAGGTTTTATCAGGATAAAATTTACAAAGTGATTTATACTCAAAATTATATAAATTAAGTAAATAATAATCCTAATTACTGTTCCCAGTCTAAAGACTATATACAGATAAAAACTACGGAATAAATTCGAGGTGTCAATCGACAACAAAAATTAATTTACATGAGCTACTTATCAATAGATGAGAAAGTGATTGGAATTCCAATGACGCTACAAATGTTGACAATTCGTAAATAAATTAGAGCTATTAGTTGTAATCAAAACTACTTCGAACCAAAAACCAATAGGAGAAAAAGATAGGAAGTAAAATCTACTGTGTATTAAGGATCTTAGACCTTCTACTTATTTAGTGTTTATCCTTTAATTCATAGGTGAGTTAATGGAGTGTCAACTTTTAGTGATGATTCCATCAGATTTCTGCTTTGATTTTATTTTTAAGCATTAGCTTTATTTCTACAATCTCATTTTTTAATGAGGAAATGTCTTTTTTAAGTTGGGAAATTTCATCAATTCTTTTCATTTCTGAGTTTTTTAATTCTAATTTAAGTCTTTTTATTTCTTCAATATAATTGAGATTTTTATTATTATTGTTGTTGTTATTTACTTTTAATTCCCCAACTTTTATCTTTCTATCTGCATAGTCCTTCCCTTCCATAGCCAATGTTTTACATTCTTCGTTGATTTTATTATACTTATCTATTCTTTGTTGTCTTAATTTTTTGTATACCTTGCATCCCTTCCATGTAGTGAAATGCGCTTCTTTGCAATGAAGACAAGTAGGTTTCCAAACTTCGTTTTTATTGATTGCTATTTCTGGGATTGGACATGTATTGCTATGGTGATTATCATTACAGATTAGACATACTAATTTGGCTTTGCAATAGTTTTTGGTATGGCCATAGTTGAGGCAGACTTTACAGATAGGAATTTCAAGTTGTTTGACACCCAATCTATCAAAATTAACTTCATAATTGTTTAGAGTTTTAATATTTTCTAATTTTTCCCATAGTTTTAAGTGACTTTTGAAATATATTCTAAAGAGTGGGATTGGGTGTTTAGTGACATTGTGTCTTAACTGAGTTATGTTTTTAACTACTAAGAATTCAAATTTCTCCAGTTCCGTTTTAAGGGTTCCTAAGTTGAAATCCACTGGTAGACCTCTGATGATTCTTTTTACAATTTTGCCCTGGAAAGGTTGAAATGAGTAATGTTCAACCCCTAAGTCAACAAGTTTAGAGGAGAGAAATTTGAATTCTTCCAAAGTTTTAGTTTTAACTTTGAATTAAAACGGCAGTTCTTTAAAACTGTCATGATTTTTCTTCTCAATGCGAAGAAAATTCTGCAAAAACTTCAAGAAATAATATCAATTTGTTCTCCTTTGAAAAAATGACGTAGAGGCGGAAATTTTCAGGCACCGCAAACGAGTTATGTGGTTGCCGACTTTCACCGTCGATATACACTTTTATTCTTGGAGTCTAAGTAATTTTACTTAGGTAAGTTGAGTAGAAGTCTGAAGACAGGTTTTTCTTCTTCCTTTTTGTTTTTTGATTTTAATCTTTCAATAAAATCTAGAGGTAAATATTCATCCCTACCCCACTTTTCTAGTCTCCCTACTATTCTTCAAATAAAAACAAATGATTACGTTTGGCACAGTGACTTTCATTGGAAACTAATCTTTGTGTCAATTTTATTTTTTGTTCACACAGGTTCCAGGCAAACGTTTCTGTTTACGACCCAATATTTTCTGATCTTGATAAAGTATTGTTGAATAAATTTGATCTACACGTCATCGCTGGACCCGATAATGTAAAACCGGAGGTTAATGCTGAAACTCTGGTAATATTTCCACATGTGCCCAAAGAACTCATTGAGAACTTTCTTCAAGTCAATTGGCAAAGAAATTTGTCAAAGTGTTACCTCCTTTGCAACAGTTTCTCAAAAATTAGAGAAGATAATCTTGACTTGATATTGCAGAAGAATTACTACCACCTTTATCAAGCCTTTAACTTTCATTCTGAATATAGAATTTCAAACAATTTCCGATTCAAAGACGTATTCAACGATCTATCAATTCACATTTTTTCAACAGTTTGAAGTTAGGTTTAATAAATTTCAAACGTTTTATCAAACTCTTGTTTAAATATCTGTTTAAGTTAACTTTTTCTAAATTTGAACATAGACCTATCTTCAGACAGAGGTCAGCCTACCATTACTAACTTTGCTATAAGATAGGCATCAATCATTTGCAAAAAGAGCTAATCAAGTAACTTTTTGATCAATGTACTACCATTCCTAGAATCCAAAGGTTACCTGTGATTCATTGGTAACTGTACTTCAATAAAAGTAATCAGGTCCTACTGTGGTGCTACGTTTGCAGCTATGGCAGAAAAGATATTACTCACAGCTGGGCTACGTAGTTTGTTAGCTGAAATCAGGCATGCAACTTCTGAAGTCAAGCGAAAAGACTCTTCGATTTATAAGTACATAATGAGCCAATACAGAAAGTACCAAATTACAGATTTGCAGCATTGTAAGGCGCAAGAAGAAATGCAATTTTTGGCACAGACTTATTCTTGTTATCTAAAAAGCGTTCGCAAACAAAATGAGTTGCACGAGCTGTATCGAGGCAAAGGAGAAATGTCAATCGGAGAGACTGCCAATTTAGTTGGATTTAAACTTCCGCACGATCCAAAGTAAAGCTATTGTTGATGGGAAGAATTTTCACTCTTTTTTTTTCTTGAGCAGACGTTCAAGTTTCTTATTATATTTGTAAAATTTGAATCTTGTTAGAAATAAATACCATGTTAATAGCAATTGTTCTGATGTTACTTATTAATACTTAGCATGAGATAATCTCTAAAAATATGGCTTGAAAACGGTAGCAGGATATTGAAATAGTGGTAGATCCACACTATTCTGCAAGGGAATCAAAGTCAAGTAAGCAACAAATGCTTCCTAGTGAAAATTAAAGTTCATTTCACAATAGTGGTCATTACATGAGCAGGAATCAATTCTGGATGTTGAAAACCCGGGCTCTTGGGGTAAAATTGTCTCAAAACGTAAACAACATTTTTCTAGAAATCGTGGTGTTCCCCTCTCAAACTTGTGGATGCTCTAGAATAGTTATTTATTGGAATTTTTTAGTGTTTTGTTGGTGGCAAACGATTAAAAATTAACTCTTTTAAGCCAAAATAAAGTTATCTTGCTTTTTATTTCTCCCCTCGAGTCCTTTTTTTCTTGGATGCATCACAGATAGTGGAGCGGTTTCATCACATTTATAAATAATTGTGAACATTAATGTTCCTCGCAGATTATCTGAGTATATTTTTCAATTTTTGATCAATCATGGCTTCTTCTTCACCCAGGAAAATAAATAAAAAAAAATAAGTAAAGAAAAAAATTAAAGGTTGGTACTGACAAATAAAGATGTAGCTGTCCGTATTGTACCAACGAGTGATACCAATTATCTATTAGGACATTGTCTTTCATTCACTGTATCATTGAAGGTGGCAGGACCACGGCTTCCTCAGCTCAGCTTTCGTGAATGCTATGCCATCTGTGAGGGTATGTAGTAAACACAAAATGATACAGATGAAATTTTAAGTAAAAACAGTTTTATTTTTTAACTTCCATAAAAATTTCTGACCAACAACTTTTAAAACTAAAATACTTGATTATGACTTAAAACAATCAAGGTCTGTACAACGTTAAAACAAAAGCCTTACCAAATACCAAACTGACAGTCACAAGAAACAAGGAAAACAGAAGAGAAATAGTGTCAGGGAATAAAATCAAAACCATACAAAAGTGGAAGTAAAAAAGGATCTGACTCAGCGACAGCTGTATCAAAATTACTTCAGAGATACTATCTTGATTGTGATGTAACTTTGAAGATTATTTTGCTAATTTAAAGCTGCCCTCTTAATATTGGCTGTTGAAAAAAAATTGATAAAAAAGCCTCGTAAATTTTAAAGAGAAATCTCTTGAGAAACTGTTAAAATACCTATTTAAGGGAACCCTTCTTGTTCTTTTCTAAATAAAAATGCTATCTTGCTCATTTAAAGTTTTACATTTCTTTATATTGGTAAATTTTAACCCAATTTTACCTAAAATAGTAGTTTTTGTTTCATATTTTGCAGTATAGTTTGGGTTTAGCGTCAATATGAGTATTTAAAATTATGATGGCAATTTTTTTCCATTTTTTTTTCAACATACATGTCACCTGAATTTCACTTGAAAAGCACAAATAGATTTTACTAACTCGTACAAGTCAACAATTTTTTTATGATTTTTAACAGTCCAAACGTTTACATTCAGCGACAGTTTACAATAGGCTTATGGTTGCATTTATGAACTTTGAATTTACTTGTAGTGAAATTCTGCAAATAGAACAAACTGGTAACATTCAAATCATGCAGGATTGAGATTGTTAACAAGTTGACTTCACGTGGGTCAATATTAAAAAGTGTACAGATATTACATAGTAAATATAACAATAAATTTGCTGTGTGAAAGTTCATTACTGTCTTAAAAATGAGGTATTAACCTGGAATTAAGATTTTATCAATGATTTAAACAATGCTCTCACTCACAGATAATATGCCCTCACCATTGACTAAAAGTCTTCAAACCGAGGAGAAAGAAAGANTAAAAAGTTAGAGGGGGTGGAAGGGACTTTTGGATCACCCTGTATAGATATTACATAGTAAATATAACAATAAATTTGCTGTGTGAAAGTTCATTACTGTCTTAAAAATGAGGTATTAACCTGGAATTAAGATTTTATCAATGATTTAAACAATGCTCTCACTCACAGATAATATGCCCTCACCATTGACTAAAAGTCTTCAAACCGAGGAGAAAGAAAGAATAAAATGAAATGAAGTAAAAAGGCATGGTGCCCAAAGCATGGCACTGCCCTCTCTTGTACATCCTTCAGCCTGTTGCAGCTGCTAAAGGTTCCCTGCTGTGAAAAAGTCCAGAAATAATTTCAATTCAACCAGCATTGAGCTGATACGTAAGCAGCAAATTATCCTTTGTCAGGCGAAACAAAGTAATTGTTTTTCGGGCTATTGATTAAGTATGAACAGTGAAAATTTGAATGGACAATATTAATTTAACGTGAATGGCAGGCAGGAGTTGGAAAATGCATTGGTTACGGGATTTTATTGGCTGCAAGGAGCTGACAAAAATAGAAAAGAGAGATGGGAGGCTGAACACAAAAGTGCTGATTTTCAGCGGACAGCTTGAAATTAATACTATCCAACGACTTTGATAGGGAAACAGTATTGGACCAAGTTAACAGTGGGCAGCGTTTTAAGAGACATTTCCATTGAATCTGTTGATAGCATGACTTCGTGAAAATTCTGACTTGTAAAAACATATTAACATAAAGGCCGAATTGTCACTGGAGGAATTAAGTTACAGAATGAATGGCGGCTAGTAGCTAATCGAAAGCTAACAATTAACAGAGCTTCATGGAACTCCTTGCTGCTGGGGTTTCAATCCTTCAAAAAGAATTATAAAATGTTTCCTTGCAACAAATTACAAAAAAGGATGTCCCTTCATGAAAATTGGCAATTCCGCTGGCCGAATAATTGCACAAAACCTTAGATAAACCACAACATTTGTATAATACAAAAAAGAAGTTAGGAGCAACATTTGATGGATGATCAGATAATGTAAAGTGAGCCTAGTTTAAAAGCCAAAGGACAAACTGGAGTTTTAAAACCATGACTCCAGTTTTTCAAGATAAATTTTCTTTTTTTAGGATCACACACAAAAAAAAAAAATTCAATTCCTAATACTGACTCCGAAGTGTAGCCTAAAAGGCCAACACCTCACCTAGAAATGTAACAGAAACGATTTTATGTTACTCAGAAAAAAAGTTGTACAACTCAATAACAGTAACAGCCAGGGAAATTTTCTACAGTTATACACATCCTCTATGTCTGCCAGAAAGTTGCTCAATAGAACAGAAAAAGGTTATGGCAAGGGACAAAGTATTCAATTTCAAGAAATTTTACTATAAATAGAAAATAATAAGTAAAAACCTAACACAAAGAAACTGTTGAACTTTTTTAGTAAATGATGAAAAAGGTATGAAACACTGTTACTTGGGTTGAAATCCTTACTCTGTAGGTTCTTTCTGACGACCAACTACGTGTAATTTTTGGGGCAGCTTTCTTGCTGCTGACTGATACTTCCCCAAAAAAATAAAATAGCGTCCAAGAAGTGGAAGAGATAAAATTATAGGAGTGCACCCACTATCATTCACATTTTAGGTTATGAAATCATCACAAGAAAATGTTGCTTTTTACAATTCTAGAAACATGCGATAAATATATATAATACATTTGTACAAATATTGAATAGAAAAATATTCACAATCTATCACAATTGAGCTTATGAATTAATGTAACTTCTCACTTGTTCATTTTAAAAAGGACATGTCAGAAATTTGCCCAGTTTTTTCTGTCGGAACTGGTCTGTAACTTGATGTAGGCCGGGNGGGGGGGGGGATACAGAGCCTTCAAAATTTATGGCAAATTTTTTTTTTCAGACACTAAGTTAGGGTGAACATCAGACTTAAATTTGCAAACATTTGTTCGAGGCGTTTTTCAAAATTTTAAATCTTGTAAACGTCGGGGATTGACTTAAGAAAAACTTTGACAGTTTGCCAGTGGATTGATAGAGGTAAAAGGAATGCACACGTGTAGCCACATTCGAAGGACATAAATAAATGAAAAATTCATGATAGCGCATGACATCCTGAGAAAATGTTAAGCTTGATGTTAATTGTTTCAAACTGCTCCCACCCTTCTTCCTTCTGTGTCTCATTTGGACTTAATTTTGCAATGGACCACTAGACCAGGTACGAATTTCTGCGTTCTGATACAAGTTTCTTGACCAAAATTTCACGAAAAATACGACGTGCACAGCTAAAATTACTGAAATGAACTCCTTTCAAAGATATTTAATGATTCTTGGCGCGTGAATTCAAACTACCCGCTCATGAAAACTCAATGCTCTGCGTGATTCACATCGTGCGCTAAACGTTATCATGACAGTTTCTGCGATATAAAAATCTGGCAACCTCAATCTTGACGCTTTGGCTCAGCTGTAGCAAATTGCTATTAGTTTAAACGACGGACAGAGGGAAATGAAATAATTACTCGATTGAGACTTGTTGAAACCGTTGTAGTGCGCGATTTGACTCACGTAGACCTTTGAGTTTCTTGTGACCGGGCAGTTCAAATTCCTCGTAACCAATGTGAAATAAAAACGTTAATATCTTATTTTGTAGTTTGTTTCATTAGTTTTCATTGCGCGAATCGTGCTCTACGTGAAATTCTGGTTAAGAAACATGTAACAGAATGCTTAAATTCGTACCTTGTCTAGTGGTCCATTAGGAACTATAAATTCTGGCTCATCCGAAAAAACACGTATGTGCATAAGGAAACTAGTGGTTCATACGTTGTTTTTATATTGAGTCAGAATTTATAGTTCCTAATTGCAAAATGTAGTCCATTTATCGTATAAGAGGAAAGTGCTTTAAGTCTGGATAAACTGGAACAGGAATACTAATCGGACGTATTTCTACCAAACAAAACCATGTGCATTAAAGTATGAGTCCTGAGACTCATAAGAATGTATGCATAACAGCGCTCACGTCATTATGCACATAGTGCCATTTGGCAGAAATACGTCCAATTCGTGATACATCATTTGTCTCAGTCAAAGGCACCAGAAAATTCCAATGTTTTATTTTGTTTGAATCAATAATTCTGAGTTTCTAGGTGAAATTCGTGGTAGGTATTGAGTTTTTAAAAAATCATTTTTGAGTTTATCAGTACCCAGCGGCACTTCGAGCATTTTGTGAGCAAGTGAGAAGGACAGTGAAAAATTTTACTTTTTCATGATATACAAAAAAAAATGGCAGGACTTAACTAATTTACAATCGTACTTCATTTTGCAATTCGGAGCCACCATTTCTGGCTCGTCCTAAAGACATCATTTATGTCATTACTTTCCCTCTGTAGATAGGTGCTTTTATCGGTGAGCCAGAAATTGTGATCAGATTAGTGGCCAGCAATAGGTGCAGTTAGGAGTTTTCATTAATGAGCCAGAAAAAGTGGTTCCCTATTGCAAAAAGTGGTCCAAGTGACCAAAAATCGAGCTAAAAATAACCCCGACAATAATTTGCCTTGAAAGGTGATTATTGTTTCCAAAACGTATGAGGATTACATTGGACTATTCCTTTAAAAGAAAAAAAAAGAATGATACTTCACAGGATAAATAATAAATTTCTGAAACCCGTCTTGGAACATTATGACATGTTTTTGTTTCAAGAATTAATATGATTGAATTTGGTAGAATTGAATGAAAATCATGCAAGTTTCTTTTGGTGAATCAATCACCCGTTTTTTTTTTTTTTTTTTAGAGCAGAGGCATAAATAAATATGCAGAAAACATACCATTATATATTTCTTCATGGAATGCAAGATTTCTTCATCAGATTAGATAATGCTCTAAAAAAATAATAATTTATGATTGTTTGTGACAAATGAAAAGAAAGGCAGGAAGAGTGTCAGACATGCTTTTGGAACAGTGAGAAACTGTTGACATCGTGAATAAAGAGAAATAAGAGAAGGAAAAATCTGAAAACTTCAAAAACTAAGCTCATAGCAAATGATGAGCAATCAATCTCACTTTAAGAATACTTTGAGAAGTCACGGAAGTACATCACAAAATCCAATATCAAAGCAGTATTTTAAAATACCTAAAACATCTTGGCTAGAATTTTCAGTACGTGGTTTTGTTTGTTTGAAACAAAAACTATTCCCATTTTTGGAAATAAGATTTAAAACAAATAGGGGCTGCAAGAATGTGATCAAAAGGAATCTCTAGTCTCTGACAAAGAAAACAATAGTTTTTGTGGGCATAACTTACTTTGTCAAGGCGCTCAGATTAATGCTTCGCCTGACCCAGCTGAGACTCAACAATAAACACGTAAATAAAATTTTACTTCTGCAAAGTGATGCTGAACTGTTCTCCGGAAATCACAGGTAAGACGCCCTCTTCCGTCTTCACTTCTCAACTGGACTGCATTTTGCAATTAGGGACTGTAATTTCTGGTTCATCCGTAAAAACACTTTTCTGCATAGGAAAACTAACAGTACATACATTGCTCTGAAATTGAGCCAGAAATTGTAGTTTTTAATTGCAAAATGTTGCCCAATTGAACTCCTCTTGGAAAAAGTCCAAAACCGTCGTCTATACCCATTGCCTGGACCAAGACTTGCACCCTATCATCAATTGCAATTCTTTTCACAATTAGAAACTACAGTTTCTGGCTCATCCTTGAAAACACTTATGTAAATTAGGAAACTAATGGTACATACGTTGTTTCTTAACTGAGCCAGAAATTGTAGTTCCAAATTGCAAAATGTTGTCCAATTTATGCTTAGAGCCCTGACTGGGACCCCAAATTTTTTTGGCAGGGTCCAGAGGCTTGAGCTCAGGCAAGGGGAAAGGCAATGATTATGGTGACTTACAAAGCTTTCCATTAAAAAGTGTCGCGCATAGCACATTCAGGTCTGATACAATTATGCGTTCGGAGTTCTACAAAACTCTGAAACGATAAATGCTCAAAACGTAATTATTTGATTGCCGAGTTGTTCTGACTAAATGTGTTTCTACTTTTAAGGAGGGAACCTGTTCTCCTTTCTGTCTGACCTTGCGAGTTTTGAGATTATTCTAGAAATTGACGTTAAAATGTGAAACCAATGTGAGCTATGTAATAACACTTGTAGACGTTTTAAGAGTGCGAATTACAAGATACCGATTCCAAATAATTAGTTGACTTCAATTTATTTTCAGCCACATTCTTATTTCTCTTGTCGGTACGTTACGACAGTAATATAATTTATTATCATAAGCCATTCGTTTTAACCACTCATGTAACAGGTCAAGTTGATGAGAGTAGGTTGAAATACTTCACCATTTGACGTTCAGAAATCTCTTTCAGGGGAATGGGTGTCAATTCTACTGATCTGAGAATAAGCTTGATGAAAACTGAAATTCCATACGAAATGATAAGAAATCATTTAGGCAATGCTAAGCTTTGGTTAAAATCTTACAACTATAGGGTCAGACAGACAAAAACTTTGAAGAGACATTTAATATGCCAAAATGCAAATTTACCCCTGTTGAGATTATGCATCATGTTCATATCTACAAAATGGAATAAGCAGGAAGAGTTTTGATTATTAGAAAGGCAGAAGCTATCTTCAATAATTTTGGAGTGAATTTTTGCTGAGCCAATATTGCTGTCTTTCTGAAATGTTCCGCATTTCAACTACTGAGAAAAGGGTCGAATCACAAGGTTGACTAAGAAGTGAATGAGATAGTTTTTGAGTGGTCCGAATAGATTTAAAAATTTTGAGCCTACTTCGGGCTCTATTCACAGCCTAGTTTACTTACAGCATTAAGGACCCACATAGAACTTACCCATTTATGTATGTTGGATCTCACAAAAGATTTGCTAAGCCTTCAGTCTAGTAAAGGCACTTGCCTACTCACAATTTTGCATTTGACTGACATGACTGACTTCGATGCGTTTCACAGAGATCACTATAACTCATCGAGAAATTTGAGGCTTGCACGACTACTTGTGCTCACATCTTTTTCCTCTTTTTCCTCCTTTTTACTTTTTTCTTTTTCCTCTTTTTCCTTTCTTTCAATTGTCTCCATGTGGGGACTTTCAAAGACTTGGATCAGCTCATCTGTGTTCAGCGATCGATCAATTTTCTCTTCAGGCTGCTTTGTCGATGCCTGGTTTGTGGCTAGGAATTCATAGATCAGCTTCATGAGAGGGTATTCTGACTCTTTATCACTTGATTCTGAGGAGTCTTTCCTTTTTGGGTCCGAGAGTTTAGCTGTTTCAGCATCAGTTTCCTGAAATGGTTGAAGCAAAAAGAGGAATTAGAGGCAGGCAAAAATCCTGAGATGATGGAATTTTACTCCGAAGTAAGCATTAAAGAATAGTGATTATAAGCGTCTAATTGACGGTGTGTCCTTTCCTTTAAGTTGCTCCCTACTTACAGCTTGCCATGTAAGCCTGATCTGTCACGAACTATGATTAACTTTAATGTGAATGCCACCATTTTACCTCATCATTCTGTTTCACCGAATACGTTTCTCTAGGATATTATTAAAATTATGATCTTATTTTCAGAAATTGGATGCCAGACTTTTTTCGGAGTCGTTCCAACCAACTAAGTATGGGAAACCTGAAGGCTGCAATTTTTTTTTTTTGCTCGATTGTAATATAGGAGCTTTCTGGCTGTAGTAAGGGTCTAAGTATTGTTGACAAAAATTTACACTAACTCAATGGTAAAAATTACACAGAATTACACATCCTCACACAGCTCATTCAGTGTATAGAATACTTTAAACTTTAAAAATTGCTTTAACTTAGTAAGAGAAATATTCACCATTCTCACACTAAGTTTCTTGTATTATTGTGGTTTCCTGAATGACATCATGAGCTTAACTTTAGAATTGACCAGATCAAAGTAACATGACGGAACTTTCACTGCTTATTCTTAGGTACCTTGGGCTTTCAATTAAGACAAACTTGTTTTTGAGTTGATGTTCCCCTAACAAATACTTAGTTTCTCTGGGTACTTGCTATTTATATAGGGGCAAAAGGTCTCTTTTAAAAGGTCAATTGTTTATGTTTAATGTCAAGGCAAAAATAAAATGAACAGAAAATTTAAAGTTAGGAGGGGGAAAAAAAAGACGATTACTCACCGAACTTCTGTCTTTGTACCAGAAATCTTGAACAGCTTCTTTAATTTTATCTAGTGTATTTAAGTCTAACTTATTACTCTGCTTAGCTTCTTCTGAAAAAAAAAAAGAGAATGAGAATGATGACAACTTTACGGACACTTTCGATAGTGTTTCAAGTTAGGGCCCCCTTTCTAATCCATGAGCCTCTATGGGCTTCAGGACCATAAGATTTGGCTTCTTAGGGGTCGAATATTCATTAAAACACCTTCTTTCCCCGCGGCTACATAAATATAATGACTTATTTACCATTTTATCAAGAATAGCTCTGTCTCCTGACTTGAGGGGTCAATATTTCTGATAGGGATGGACCAGTTTTGAACTTTATAGTATCAATTTCAGTCAAACTTTTATGTATTCTTTGATTTTAACTTTTATATTCTTCAAAATTATGACAAGAACCCCAATTTTCAAAGTTGCGACCATCCTTTTAGCCCCCAAGTTAGCAATGTCATGACCCTTTCTCCCCATATCTTGTTTCAAAATGTAGTATAAATTTATTCATAAAAATCTCTATGATGCTTTTTCCACCAGAAAGGGGGCGAGGTTGCTTCTTAGGCCGAATTTTACATGCAAAAACTGAATTTTTCGTTTAAGGCCCACTTTCCCCTCTTAAAGCAATGTTATTTCTCTTCAAAGAAAGATATAAGTACAGTACATGTTACCTTTAACTAAGAGGCTGAAAGTTAGAAGCTAGTAAAAAAGATTGGGGAGCATAATATTTCAAACATTCTAGTTTTCCGAACAACCCTATTGTTCTTTGCATCTATGAGGACAATATCCTGCAATATCTTCCTTACACCGAGGTAAAACATGTGAAAGACTTTGTTGGTCGCCATAATATTTGAATCTAAAAAAAGAGTATCCATCACGATTTTTGCATCTGCAAACCGACTCTTATTCTCATGGATAAATACATAGCACAAGATGACGAAACCAAAACAATCAAGTGGTGGGACGCCACGAAAACTCATCACTCATTCCTGCCCAAAAGTGACCATTTTAGAATTCTAAATTTTGGGGCACTTTTAAGTTTCTTTTAAGTGGGCTGCTGGCAGTTAAAACACTTTAGAATCCCTGTAACATCAAAAGTCCTAGTTCTTTTAATACAAACAAATTGACATGCAACTGGCTTGTTAATGAGCCAAAAATGATGCTGTAAATATTTTGGCTTCTCATAAAAGCAGAAATATTGAATAACGTTGAAAGATCATTTCCTACCTGGTTTGTGATCCCCAAGGGTAACTTGCATTAATGGGTGTTTAATGGCATGCTTAATTAACGTTGAGGCCTCTTGCCAAATCAGGAACACAGCTGGAATATGGATATCATCTGTCCCATCCCCTGACATAGCGAAAATTGTAGAAGAGCCGCCAGTATTTGAAATTACTGCACTCATGTTGTCTATAACAATAACTCCCACTGCTCCTGCAGCCTCTAGCCGTCTTGCTTTCTCGACAAACATGCATTCACCGCGTTCAACAATGGCTATCACTCCGTTGAGCCGATCGGGATTAAGAAGTGGCTTACACGCTGTTAAAGGGTAAGCAACACCCAAACGAGCTGTCACCTGCACGATAGAAACACTCAGTCAGATACCAGAAGTTTCATTAATTTATTAAACCTACATTTTCTTATAATAATTATATGTTAAAATTTTGTAAAATAAATATACCTCCAATTTGCTACTGAACTCTTCTTGAACGCATCGGTTAACCGAGAATCATCTCACTCTCTTACTTACAGCAAAGATCTAATCCTGTCAGCAGCCAAACAGCAGATGAAATTTCTTAAGAGCTCAACAAGAAATTAACAGCTTCATGGTCACGACCAAACTTTATGACATAGGAAATTTCATCATTTCAAGTATTAACTTTTTTTCGATTCATCATATTATTCACCTGCAGTTGAAGGAAGCCGATTCACTTGAGTCTGGATTTAGCAAGCAGTGCAATGGCACGGAGCTATCGATTTTCAGATCTTTCCAAAGCATTTTCCTGCAAATGGCAGAAACTAGTCAACCTCTCACCTGGTAACCCTCCAGGTTGCCAATCTTAGGCAAAACGTTGACAGATACGTCAAAATGGTTTAAAAGCAAACAGGAGTGTTTGTGCACTCCATAAAAGGAAATAATTCAAAAAGGAAAGAGGTGAGGGAAACATTATGGAGGGAGAGAGGATTCAAAGTAAGAACTGGGAACCTACCTTGTCATCTCCTCGTAACTGTCGTCCAAAATGAGCAGGACCTGCTGTTAGAACAACAGTTTTAGAGGGATCTGTTGTGGAGGTAAACGACACAGATTGAGGAAGATTTTCTGCAGCTTGATTTTTTGACAGTTCCATCATTTCTTGCAGAAAGAGTAAGCCTTCTGTTGCCTCTGCTACACTTACAGCCTAAAAACAAATTAGATATATTAACAGTGAACTTGTGTTGTTTCATGCAAAACTGCATGAAATGCTGCATTGTTGGCATTTTATTTCAAATCTTTGGCTATGTTGTTGGAATTTGAAACACATGGAGAAATAGATTTTTGCATTGGAATTTTGATGAGACTGATAAACTAGATTTACATCAAAGCCATCCTAATAGTAACAACATTGCAGTCTGACACTTAAACTTCCGATAACCAGAAAAGTGTGAGAGGTACACAGAAAATACACTGAAAGGTACAGAGGATTTAACTGAAACTTCATCCCTCATTATTTTCACTTTTACAAGCGGAGTGTGAAAAGAACAAAGCATTCAGAGAAAATTGGTGTGATAAATGTTATATTCAAAAGGAAAGGGTCATTCATTGACAAAGGTGTTGGTTTGGCTGCGAATATTTGAGCGGTGTTTTCTAACTTTTTTTATTTGTGTTTATTTTACCAAATTCTCATATAATCTCAAATTTAATTTTTGGTTTGAATTATTCATTAATGTTGGAATTAATGTTAAGTCAGAAAGCAAATAAGTTTCAACTGCCTTACATTATCAAAAGCGTGCATGAGTTGAATTCTTCCATCAGCAAGTGTTGTGACAGTTATACCCATGTTCTTGACCAATCGCATATGTTCAACATTGTTTGACTGAAATTGAGATGCAAGAAGCTTGCGCTGCGTTGTATGACGTGGACATACTCCATCAACCATGTTCTTGAGTGGCTTGCGCACTGATTCTGGAAAAAGGTGGAGAGAAGAAGGGCATGATTGCGCAAGCTCTCCTATCTCTTCATCTTCTTGATCTTGCATGGGAAAAACGGTGAAATTGGTGCGCGAGTGAGCTAGAGTAAGTGGGAGAAGATGAGCTTCTGTTGTGAAGATAAACTCATCGAGGTTGACTACTAGATCATCTGGAGAGGCAAAGAGGAGGAACAAGTACTTGAATGTTTCTGCCAGTACGAACGAATCCATCCTGGGAAATAAAAAAGGAGGGCGATTAGGTACGAGTAAAACAGATAAGTTTGGGAACGTAGTGTTCTTACTTTTCTATGAATTTTAATTTCGTGAGGATTCAATGAAAAGTAAGGTTGCTCTGAACAGAATTTGTCTTTTGAAGAGCCTTGGTATGAAGTACCCTGTTCAGGGTTGCCACGGAATTTAGAAAATGGATTCCCCGACACATTTTGGTGCAATCGGTGTGCCAGACATAAGACACCATAGACATGATTAGAAATAGTTTTCAGGCAAAATGTGTTATACAAAACATCAAACCCATTCTATACAGTAAACAATTTTTCCCCAACATTTTGGTTATTTTCCCTGACATTTCCAGGTACTCCCTGACTTTAAAATTCCCTAACATTTCTCGGTTTTCCCGCGCCGTAGCAAACCTTACCTGTTTTGAGAAAAATGCATTATATTTTAAATTTAGCAATCTGAGATTATTCATTTTATGTCAACACATATTAGACTGAGATACACGTATGGACAACTGCAAAGGGTGAGAGCTCTTCTCAACATTACAAACTATAAATCCTCCTAAAATGTCTTAATCTCGTACAATTTTCAGCAAGATTCCTGAAAAAAATCTTCACCTTCAACTTTCTCTTGCAAATTTGGATTCGGCATTTGAAAAAATCACCCAATAAAGTATCATCGATAGGTCCCAGGATGCCTTGTGTAGTCAAGACTTGTTAAAAGAGTGTAAAGATTGAGAAATAGGCGTACCCATCTTCATGGAGACCGGTTCTCACATCTTTGACAGTGGCATAACCACAAGGTACTCGGGCAAACTTTTGAAGCGATTGAAGAACATTTTTGCCAACTTGTAGGTAGTGCGGATCTTCTGTGGCTCTATACAAAAAGTATGTTGATTCCAGAAATTCAGGTCGTAGTGGATGCTGTCCCCAATGCACCTTTTTATGAATAATAGAAAAATGTATCGAATGCAACTATTACTCAATGTAGAAAAATAAAAATACAATAAAGAATACAGTAAACAATCTGTGGTAAATTGTAACATACAAACACAGAAATTAATTTTTCTGACAAATTAATTAGTGTATTTTCCAAAGGAAATACACTATTTTAAATTAATATGTGTAAGGACAAATTTCTCTCTATTGGATTAGGTATAGGTATAGTAATGATGATTGACTGGTTCAACTCATAACATCTTAAAAGTTTCCATGCTATAATCACACTAATGCAGTATAAAAAAATTGGCAAGCATACTAAATCAGTCACAAGGATTTGAAACTGCATACATCCTTTCTATACAAAAAGATGTGACCCCATCAATTGAAAGGGTGAAAATCGGGCGAATTAGAGATCCTGTTCGAGTTTTTGCAGGACATTAAAACTAGAAAATTTTTAAGATGAAATAAAGTTTTTAATTATTTGCTACTGGGGTTTAATCCAACAGATTTCCAAAAATTTTCACTGGAATTTGTGACGTTGAATGAAAAGTTAAAAATAAAATACTGCATTTTTTTAACATAAAATGAGATAAATAAATATTGAATTCATCAGCGGTAAATAAAAAATAATTTACGTAAGTCAGAGAAATTACTGGAAAATAACTAAATGAAACTTGAATGTTACACTTGCAGTTTCAACCACAAATCAGGATAAGGAAAAAAATGAACAAGAGGAAATCCAGCTACTAACCTCTATTTAAAGGAGGGGGCATTCAGAGCAAACCAGATGATCTTTGCCCAGTTCGTTAATTTTATTTTAGTTATTTCTAATGGTTTTTTTAGTTTATTCGTTAATTTTTTTTTTTTTGTTCGTTTATTTTTTTAGTTCAACTTTTCCTTTGAAGGAAATCCGCAGGGAAGGGTAAGAGCAAAGGGAGAATATAATGAAAGAAGAGAATTAAAATTTTCTGATTGAGAAATAAGGATAAAATACCAACCTGAAAGTCTGTGGTGAAAGCCTCAGGAATGAAATTGTGCCTCTGCATGACCTGATACAACATTTCATGGGTCTCAATTGCTGGTTTCAGGTCTCCATTTAAAACCTGGGAATCGTTAAGAAGAATAAATTATCCCATAAAAAAAAGAAAGAAAAAAAAATACTGGAATACTCTCTTTATCGAAAATATTCTTGATGACAGGAAAGTTTTAAAATAAACTTTGGATATGAAAAGAAATAGGACAATAAAACTGCTGTGATTTTTCTTCTTTGTGCAAAGAAAATCCTGCAAAAACTTCAAGGAATGATGTCAATTTATTCTCCTTCAAAAAAATAACATAGAGGCAGAGATTTCAGACACCGCAAACGAGTTATGTGATTGCCGACTTACACCGTCGAGATGTTAAGTACATCAGTTTGCATAGCAGCTACCTACTTGCATCTGAAATATGTGTTTCAAACAGAGAAGTTGTAATCTAGTACAATCTCAAAAATTTAGATGGTGCTTAAAATTTTCCTTTAACTGAGAGGTTACTTACTTGGAGCCCAGGCCAGAAAGCTAGGAGTGCATCCATGAAGTTACGTGAGTTTGTGTGTGGTCTGTGCATGTGAACGTCCAACAGCATTGGCCCTTGACTTATGTACTTCATCACTGCTGAGTAGTGCTAGAAAAATTATTGTAAGACTCAAAAATAATTCAGATTAAAATAAATGGACCCCTAGGCAAGGTTTATAGAGCATTCTGCTTTATTTTTCCTCTTCAAAATTCGAAAGGTATTAAAGTTTCTTTTCACAAAAGTGTAAACTTCAGGGTTTGAAGAGCTTATAATCGTAAAAAAATTTGGACAAAATGGTCTTTAGGTCCGCAACTGAAAACCTTGTCCAACGAAATTAGCATTTGGAAACTGGCTCCCCATTACTTTGGGAAACCCCATGTACATGGTGGGTAGGTGCGGGTAGGACACCGACAATGTCTGTCATATTCTATTGCATTCTAGACTTGGGCACTAAAAGGGTCTATATATTTATTCATCAGCAAGCACAGAGACAGAATATAAATAGAGAACAGAAATAATCTGAAAGTCGAGCAGAACCAAGATTGATGATTGGCGAAGAGCAATGCAAAGAACCGACTAAAGAAAAAATGGCGTAGCATTAGCTGATCGGCGGAATCTGTTCGGATCTGTTCTAGATTCTGTTTCTGTTCTCATTGTGTACATTAGGCTACCATAGCGTTTCAAAATTTTGGTATAAATTTTACTTATATACCTTAACATAGTAAAATTAATTTTTTTTATTTATTTATTTATTTTTATTTCTAAGTGACAAGTAAGGAAAATATATGAGAACTTCTCAAAACATTCTGTTTGATCTATCTCTTCTACTTACCCTATTGAAACGGTTCAGGTATCGGTCATCTCCAAGGAGAATATATGCCTTCAAGCAATATTCATAGTAAGAGTCGATACCAGCACCAACACCAGAGTCTCTACGGACCCAATCACCTGAGTGGACATTCAAGACTGTCCCCATTAAATCAGAGCCCCGGTGGCGAAGTCTCCAAAGTTCATCCATTGCTCGGTGGGCTTTTTCCTACGAGAAAAAAGTAATAGAATGTCAGAGTTACTGATTACAAGTGGTTGAAATAAACATGCCTGGATCTATGCTAACAGTTGAAATTCAAGGGGCTATAAAATTTATAGTAAAAACCTACGTTTTACACAGGTTTTTTTAAAGCGCTCAGCCAATAGGCAGGCGCTTCTTGTTTACGATTTGCCACTAGAGTTCTTCTATAGTAGAGCGCTCAAACGATTGAATGGCTCACCAACTCAACAAAACATGACCGGTGAGATTCTCAGAATTTTCTTCCTACTAGCTAATAATACCCCTTTTAACATAATTAAATATAAATTAGCGGATGAAATAAATAACATTCCTGGGGAAGTTTATGGTTATTTTATTATTATGTCTGAAAGTGCAGGTATTGAGTATTTTTCATCCGAACTTTTTGCCACTGGTGGTGTGATGACTTCTTCTGAACCTGTTAAAATTCGCCTCCATATGACACAGCTGTTTTTCTTCCTGTTACAATTATCATAGAAATGCGTCTTTTTCTTTCAATCCTGTCAAACTGCTGAGGACTTCTCTAATACCTACTTATTAGAGCTTTCCCGGTTGTTTTTTATTTGGTAAAAGAGTGACCTGCTCCCCCCCCCCCCCCGAGGGCATCTTTCTCTTCTCTCCACTTCCTTGTATTTCTTTTTGAGAGGTCCTTTATTTTCATTGCCATAGCTGCACAAGGACCCTGTTCCGTTTTCCTTACTCTAGAATCGGTGCTGAGTCAAAGTAATGAATTTGATACATTCATTAATGCAGCTTCTTATCAGCAAGTAGTGCTGAAGTTTAACTCTTGATCCTAGATTATTTTCTTTCTCTAACAATATTTTGATGTGTGTTCTGGCTCAATAATAGCAGCACTTAATTTACAGGCTACACGTAATAGAAACACGGGTTATCATGATCTGTTTCCAGAGGATTTACTAAAGTCAAAGCAAAAACTTACTTCAAAAATTGGATCACCACTGAGACGGGATAGTGCAGCCATTTCCAACACCATAGTTCCCGCACATGCTGTGCATGTCTCCTTAGACCATTCCAGCTGTTTTGATTTCAATCCATGTCGTAGGTTGATCTGCATGAAATAATGATTATAAGCAATTTATTGGAAAAACAAAAACATGGATTCTCCACTTTGCAAAATTTAAGATGTCGTTAATATTAACAGCTACCACATTGTCCTATTCATTTAGGATCCATTCATTTTGGAGTTACTGTCGTAACTCTTGGGTTATGATTTAGCAGTGTGCAGTCTTACAAAGGAGTTCAATGGCTAAGCCTTCCATTTTAATAATCTTGTATTTGGTAAATGCTTTCGCAAAACTAAAATATCTTGGTTTCAGTGTTTTGGCACTGAACAACTCCTTAAAAAAGTCGTTTCTGTGGAGATATTATGCTTATGAAAGCAGGAGCGCCCACAGCTTGTTTGAACAGAGCCGGCCATGCAGGCTGGTGAATCTGGCGATTTTTGTCAAGGAAGCAAGATGGCTGCGGTGAGTTTAGGCTTCAAACTGCACTACCTATCCTCAAATCTCATGATAATAAGTAACATGCTGCCACTGTACTAAGTATTTTCTACTATGGATTCTGCCTTGATTATGTTCACATGACGCAACTTGTCAGATTCGTAAGCATATAACTCTAACCGCTTTTGCAGCAACCTTAATTTTTTGCTTTTTACCATTAACTTTACTCCCAAAAGCTGTCATCAAAATAAATAAAGGAACTAATGCAGGAGCTCCCTTGATACTTTCGAATGATGCATTAATGAGAATTGATACTAGGTACTCAATAAGAATTAGAAAAATAATACATCTAAATGTAACAAATGTATCAACTGTTCATTACCCTGGAATGAGGGATGCCTGTTGTGGTATTGAACGCTGGTAGAAGTCGGTAACCAAGGTCTCTGGCCATTTCCAATAATTCACCCCTATACCACAGCATAACCCCTGCTTTATGTTGTAAGTACTCTGAGAGAACATGACCTGAGAGAAGTCCCCTAGGAGAAAGAAAATAGAAATAAACAAATTAATATTTATCAAACATAGTTGTTATCCATATATTTTTAAAAATATTTGAAATGAATTGCTGCGTTCCATTCCTCCACTATTTGAAGTTTCAATGCTTGAAGCTTGATGCTTTGAAGTTGCATGCGCCCGATGTCATGTTCCACAAGACTGTGCCTGTATGTATCTGTAACTGTAACCTGCGATGATACCCTACTCTGATCTTCCTCCTCATGTTACCACTTTCTGCAAGGTTCATTTCTTTAGAATGTTGACTTATTTATGTAAAACTCTATTCTGATATTAACAGATTTTAACTCAACAACACCCAACAGGATCATGAACTTAGCTAGGGGAAAAGGGGGGGGAAGAGGATCTAACGCAAGAATGTTCAAAGGAACATAAAAAATGAGCCTCTAGACAGGGTAAGAATTGGAGGCTCTAAGCACATGAAGCTGCATCAGAATTTCGCGTAGAATTCAATGGTACAAACGGGAATTCATGAAACCAACTAATAAGCGAGATATTTGCGTAAATAGANTTCAGACGAAATACTGTAGGCACTTACTCACAATAGCAGCATTTATGTGTTACAACAGGAGAGATAGCATGATCGATACTAACCCCAAAACACGGATGTTTGTTTCAAAAACAGAAACAACAATGTCCTTGTCAAAAGACACATCTTGGATGATGAGCTGAACAGCATGTTCAAATTCTTCTAGGTCTCCTAATACAGCAAGGGTATCCAAAGTATCAATCAATGTTAAAGAATAACTGTAAAAAAAAAAAACAGAAATATTTTAACTTGAATTTCTTACTAGATTTTTGAAGGGAGCTGAGGAATAAAACTTACATCAAGAAAAAAATCCAGGAATGATAGATTTAGCAGCTTAAAATACGTAAAAATGGACCAACCTAAATCACAGAAAAATTTTAGGTTCACTTAGTGCAGGAAGACAGGTGCGAAACCTCCGAAAATTCCCTTAAACATCCATTTATCAGAGAAATATTGAGTATCCCAATAAATAGACAACAAATTAAGTACGACAATGTATGATTCTTTTTCAAAATTTCCAAATTCAACTTCTAAGTTTGAAAATAACAATTTTTGTCTGCATCAATTCACACTTCTTGCTCACAAAAAAAAATCAGTCTAGGTACTTGAGTTCAATCAAGCCCTAAAATAATCTCGGTATATTTTATGATTAAATAATTTTCCTTTATACCTAGAAACTTTTTTTTTTTTTTGGACAAAATTAAAGGTACCTTATATCAGAAAAGGACAGACATGTGTGTGAATCCACGGTCTCGTAATTTGCCTCGCTGAAAGATTAATTTCAATGCCTAATTTGGCCAAGCTTGATGGTGGTTTTTTGCTAACAGAAAGTTAGAATTTACTGTTTATAATGTAAACTACGAGCGTTTACCTCTCATTTGTGAGTTATTTTTTTCAATTTCCGATATGTGTGACATATTTTGAGTGAAATTTGGAAGAGAGAGCATGACTTTTACTATCTACTCTGTTTAATCATTGCCCGTCTGACACAAAGGCATATTGCATTCCTCATGTGAGCCCTGTTTTACATATGAATCCATTCTCTCTGGAACTCATGCAAAACTCAAGATAGGAGCTTCCACCAGAGGAGTAATGTAGTGGTCCATACAATAAGGATGGAAAAAGCATGTCAGTTTTGGGTTCAGGGGTTCCAAATGCATAAGATTTCACAGGCCTTAGAGATTTTCAACTCTTTATTTTTGGTAGACCTGTGCTGTTACATAGTCCATTAAAGATAATCCATAGTTTTTTCTTTAGGACTAAATACTCAAAAAAGTTTCAATTTCATTATTCAATGGAAAGTGTGAGATATCATTAAGTGAAAGACTTACTTTCCCAAAGTGTCATCTATATCTCCTCTGCTAGGTTGGACTCCTCGATACCTTCCCTGACAGCTTAAGGGCATTAATTCATCGGCAGGATAAGCATTGTCCTGCAAAAGAAGAACATTGTTTTCAATGGGTGATACAAAAAATTTTTTAACTAGAACTACTTGCAAAATCAATGGCCCGAAATACAACACATACAATACAAACTCTCTTTTTGATCACATTGTGATACTTTAATTTTTTCACTATTTGAGCTATCAAAATGATACCTACTTAAAGGGTATTTCTAAGTCAAAAGAGGCTATTTTTTCACCTCCCAAAATTCCTGGAAGCCTTCTAAAAATAGGAATCTTTTTTTTCACACCCCACTACCGTAGCCCTTAAGTACCTTGTGAAATCTTGTTACAGAGAGTTGTACATGCAGTTCAAAAAGCGCAAATCTTTTGCAAAATTAAATGCTCTGGTTCCGAGTTGGACCAAATTGTGTCACCCGGCACCAATCGGAAGCAAGCAGGGGTTTCTACGACTTCTGTCAAAAGTCTTTCTACTTTTGGCATATGAAAACGAAAAGAAAGTCCAAATTATACCTTTACAATCAAAGAATCAAATCTCATTCATGTTATCTGTTGTAAACAAACAACAATTACACATAAAAATTAGTTTTCTTTGAACAAATATCAGTGGAAAATGAAAGCAGATAGCGATTAGACTGCCCCATTTCTTCACTGCCATCATTTTCCCATCATTCCGGCGCATTTGAAATTCCTTCAAGTCTTTGGACTTTTTGAAAGCGGGCTTTCCAGGATTTTGGCTTGCAAAATATGGAATAAATAATCACATAATCTATATTTACTTGGTAATTTCAGAATATTAAATAAAAAACACAAGGTTGAGTGACCCATTGGTCATGATTCAAAACCTAAGCTGCTAATTTGGAATTACGGAGACATATCAGTTGGCAAGTGAGATAGTAGCTGATATATTTTCCATTTATTATTAGAATACCTTTCAATATTTGCTATGACAGATCTCATTCTCCTTTTTCTTGTTTCAAAACAAGTGGCATGAGTTAATTGTTGATTCGAAAGGAAATGTATAAATAAGTGCAAGTTTTCTTTCTTAGTTACATAAAGCAATGAAATTAAAAAGAATAATTGGTACAACTCACCATATACGCTCGGTAGGCATGGTAAAACATGTCTCTAGCTTCCTCCCTGTAATTGAAAAGAAAAAAAAAACTTATCACTTACAGTTGTTTATACAACACAAATATTGAATTTCTCACACACTCACTCGGTCCTGCTCAAGTGGAGTTTGCTTGCGTTGGCAATGCCAATGTTTCATTTCTAACTGCACATCATTATTTGCCAAAGGGCTGTTAACAGATGAGACATTTCATCGGTAAAGCATGATCAAATAGTTTGCGGACTATATCAGTCATTTATATGGTATAATTTGCTGCCAATTTAAAAGGTCATTCAAGTCTAGTTTCGTAACCTCTAATCACATCAATGATGCCATCTGAAGGTGTAGTAAATGCCTGAACAAGTGATGCTGATTTTGAGCGAATCAGAGATTGTCTCTAAACCAATCAGAGGTTTGATAAGAGAGTTCTGATAGGATTTATTTATTTGGTTCTGAACTTATTTTAGAATGTTTTCAGGATTACGGTGAGTATACACCCTGTTGACCCTCAGAATTAATTATATAGTCAATGGTATCTTGGGATGCAGCTCAAATCGGACTAAATATGAGTGCTATGGGGTCATTCCTGTAGAATAGTATCTTGGTGCTCTTTGGGTCTATTTGCTTCAAGTGTTTTCAAATATGCGTACAAATCATGGCAATGTCTACACTGTGGAATATTGAGAAGAAATATACGACTCAAATCTTGTTGAAAGGTCCATTGTAAGCTGTTAATAGTTCTGAAAGGTTCATGAGGAATTGATAGTTTGTTGCATACTTACTTCAAACTTTCACGCTCGACGTCTGACATCGCAGTTGGCTTCTCATTCTCCGTTGCAATCACGCAGCAGAAAATAACTAGTGAACTGATAAGGCAAATGATCAGCACTTGCGAAAGAATTTTGATGTATTCATACTTTCCCATCTTTCGATCTAGTGCTTGTTGGACATTTAATCTCAACAGGTTTTCCTTCCTGAGTGCTGTTTTCAACCTGGCGAGACACATTGAGACGTTGTCATGATACCACAGAGATCTGTGACTTCATCATGCTTTGGGAGAGTGCAATGCGTTACAGGAGCAATCTGAAGAGCTATATAGTCACTTCATTACGGTCGGAATTAGAGCAATTTCAAAAGAAAGGGCAAAATCAATCCTAAACTGGTTTTGGCAAAATAGGTTATAGTCCATCCGAAACAATATTTACAGAAACAGTTACACTTGAATAAATTTACTAAATATTAATGTTCGCACGACAAATTCACACACAAGGATGACCCGTCCTCCCTGACTCTCAAGAACTTTCCTGGTATTTCAGAATTACCACAAGTAAGTGCAGATTCCGGAAGCGAAGCAAAATGATGTTCAATATCAACCACTATAAGGAGAGTTGGGGGACCAAACCAAGGCTCCCAACCCAATAACCAGAGCAAGAACAACACAAGGATGTGGAGAAAGAAGTGAAGGTGATTGCGAGTTAACGATTTGTATCCATTGACGTCACTATGTACACTTGAAAATTAACTGAGTTATTGCATGTACAATCACTTTCATCAAAGTTGTAATGTGAAAATTAAATTTTAAGCAACTGTTTTGCTTTAGCTAAATTTTTTTTAATACATAAACTGTCTCTGAGATATTTGAAATCAAAGCTGTACCTAACCAATGACGTCACGAGGATGCGAAAGTTAGGTCACCCGCATCTATTCACCCATCCTCCACGAAAGCAGAACTCCTTAAAGTTCGTGTCATGACGAGAGAAAAAAATTTAAAAACACAATTTTGATGAAATGGACCTTGCGGCGAATTAGCGTAACATTTTCTCGTGGTAATCCTACATTCTTCGTCGAATTGGCAGTAAGTCAGTAAGCATCGAGGAAACATGTCTTAGATAGGGGTGGGCTGGTCTCCTGAGGAAAAATTTTAACGGGCCGAAGAAATTTCAAAAAATTTGAAATAGGTATAGGTATTCAGGCCCGCCACAAGGGGGGGGGGGATACTGGGTCCTTGGTACCGGGGCCCGGGCCCTGGAGGGGCCCGTGACGCAGGTGACAAACCACTACGAATTCATGTGTAACCCTTGTCTCGTAGGGAAAAGTGAAAAAATTACCCTAAAAATTCCGCAAAAGGTGAATAAAATTTCAAAAACACGCTAGGGCACTATAAAATTTTTCTTACTTTTTTAGAGATTTTCAAGATTTTGAGTATATGTAGAATGATATTTTTAGTAACTGTGTTTCATTTTCTGCCGTTGTCGGATGCTAAGAGGCTCCTTTCTGGGCATCCTCGTCTTCAATGGCTTAACTCCCTTGCCATAGACGTACGAAAGGGGAGTCCAGGGGGGCCCGGCTCCCCATAGAATTGATAATTATCATCTGCCCCCTCAAAAAAGAATGTATAGATGTTTCGAATGCAACAATTCGAAAGTTTTTGGTGCTGAAAGTAAACAAAAAGGCGTAATTATTCTGCAGAAATTGATGGAAAATCTCCATCATAAGAGCTTCATAATTCGTCCAAATAGATTTAAAATTTCAAAAATTTCCCGGGGGAGGCCCCCCGGACCCCCCCCCCTGTGCTAGGGGCCCGGGCCAGAAAATTGGTACCAGGGCCCGAGATGGGATGTGGCGGGCCTGGGTATTCCATTGGAACTTTTCAATTTTTAATTTATTTTTTTGATAATATTATCCATGTAACTTACCTACATTTTTATTTCAAGTACCTATTCAAATTAGACCGCTGATTTGTGGGAGTCCAGCTTCCCTGGTAAAAATTGGCAGTAGAATCCAAAAAGGTAGTCCAAAAGGTATCCAAAAGTTCCATTGGTAGTGATGTTCCAAAATACCATAGACCTGAAGCTGGCTGTAAGATTTGCAATAGCTTCTGTAGCCGGCTGTACAATTTCTTATAGCCTTTGGGCGCATTGGCGCCTACAAACCTAACAGGGATACTTCACGCATTGCGCAATGCGTGAAGTATTCCTGTTAGGTTTGTAGGCGCCAGTGCGTCGCCGCTCCGCTTTGTGTTAGGCTCCAATATTTAATCTCGGCGGAGTCAGCGTTTTTCAACTCATGATTTTGAAATGTTTGCACACTCTGTATAGAATATTCTCATTCTAATTGATGAAAAAAAAAAAAAAATATGTTTTAAAGGAAAATATAATGTGTGTTTTGTAAATATTAAGTTAGTTCCGTATCAAACTTAATGATTTCCAAAGCACACGAATTTCTACACAATTTCTAATAGCCTTTTATAGCCAATGGCGATAAAGTGTACAGCCCGGCGATAGGAACTATAGCCCGACTGTATACTAGCTTCGTATAGCCCGGCTATATGATTTGCTCCGCTTTCTACAGCCAGCTATATGATTTTCAATAGCCCTCTTTAGTCGGCTATAAGAACTCCTATGGTATTTTGAAACGCAGCTTCTATCGCCAATTTTTACCAGGGTTCAAAGAGGGGTTCAGGGGATTTCCCTCGTCTCAAAGGGGGAATCGGGGGNGGGGGGGGGGGGGGGGGGTGTCATACCTCGATAATTGTTATAAAGCTGAGCCGTCTCAGGAGCAATTTAGAGCTGTCCTTGCCGACAAATTGATCGAATTCAGAGATCTATGGTGAAAAGTATGTCATGAACTTATTTATCACAATCCTTCATATTTCTTGGGAGGGACCAAGTAGATCCCCGGGACAAGTGAGCCCCCTCCCCCATCAACGGGTCCCATACTACTACATAAGATTTACACGCAACTTACGTAGGTACATGAAACTTACATGTAACTACACTTGTACACTTTTCTTACATGCAAGTAGGTCATTTTAAAACCCACCGCAACTCTCTTTCAGTTTTAATTTTTTTTTTTTAAAAAAAATTTCAAATTCATATTATTAAAATTTATCGGACCATTATTTACTTACAGTTCCTATTGTCATAAGATTTGTTTCACTAACTTAAGCTCTGACTTATTAAGATATTTTTGTTTTGTTTCATTTTTCTTGTAATTGTTTGTTGTTCAATTGTTTTTTTCCAGCACTTCTCGTGTCTTTATGTATCTCTATTTATATTTTAAGATGTGCAGCCCTAGTCTTCGGGCAATCGCGATCCGATCATAGAGTATATAGAGTCGTAATGTAAATGGGAGAGCTGGCGCCATGTTCTGCTCGACGAATTCCGAGCCCGGTGTGCGCCGAGTTTGGGTCGCTTTTTCGATCCAAAATGGCGGTGTGGAATACGTGGTAATTCCTATCTCCTTTGTTGTTGTTGTTGTTGTTGTTGTTGTTGTTGTCATCGGATGGCCGGGTACCCGTGTATCGCAAACAATCGATTATGTATCGAAAAAGTGACCCGGCGTCACACAGGAGTCTCGGAATTCGGGACATGGAAAATGCTTAAATACGGCGCCAGCTCTCCCACTTACATAACGACTCTATGTACTCTATGGATCCGATGCAAGCTGCAATGTAGAGAAAAGGAGGCTATGCGAGACGCGGGCCGAGAAGGAGCGGAGCATAGTGGCGTGGCGTGCTTTACGATACATCGATTTCGATTAATCTACCATTGAAACCTATAGAAAAGGATCGATAGACAGGGTGTTCGCAGCGAACACCTTTATAGGTAATCGATTCTTTATCATAGCTTCAATAGGGACATATCGATAATCGACCATTCACGCCACGACACTAACGGATATCAAAGAGGGACAGGTTTTTTTCTTAAAGAGTGCGTGCATGGACCACGACCATCCTATGTGGTCACTGGAGTAGTGTATGATGGGTTACGGGTAACTATTTTTCGCAGGAACAACTAGCCCGCTTGTATGTACAGTGATTATCCAAAATATCGAAACGCCTTCAATTCTATGTTTATACCACACAGACATCTCCTGGGCACGAGCATATTCGTGAATGCGCACAGGAGTTGGATGTGTCGTCGCTGCTTCAGTTTTGATTTCGTGATTTGTAGAGCTACTTAGTGTTCACTCGATTTTTTATCCAGATCAAGTTTTTTGAGATCAAGTATTGGAAAAATCGAATTGATTTCAGTTGAATGTGTAAATCAATTTTTGATTGCACAATCGACTCGTTTTTCAAGCTAAAATAATTGTTCTACTATGTAGACAATTATTATTTTTTTCTCCTTAATCTTATGTTAATAAGCGATTAGCATGTTGTTGCTTTGTTATACAATTAACTCGTAATTTAAGCAAATTGTTTATATTTCCCCTGTTGGAAGCTAACAATAAAGTATACTTTAAAAAAAAAAAAAAAAAAAAAAAAATCGGGGAACGAATTAGACCGGTTCATGCCGAGTTTATAGGTACTCGGCGCCTAACGTGGGAGAACAGAATAGAGATACCTATTGATATTTGAGCTGACATATCTTGAATTTGCCGCCTCAGTAATGTGCTGATGGTTATAGGAACAGTATAAATGCGACATTTCAAAGAACTTAGGTACCTGATTGCATACTTCTACATGCCTATTTTATTCGGTTTCAGTGATAACATACATCGAACGTCTGTAATCGTCTTCGGTTTTAATCGACTTAGTACCTAGATAGATAATTTTTAAAACATCGAATCGATTCGGAAAATGAATTCTTTTTTTTGTTCAAACCCCGAACACTAAAACAACCATTCGTGCCTGAAATATGTGTGTTTCCATCCGTAAACCGTCAGTTTTTGAGGACCTCTAGCCAAGGCATAAATTAAAACATAATGTTGCTTGTTTTTTCTACAAAATTCAACAAGGAAATCGAATCACACAACAAGAAGACTGAAAATCAACTCCTGGAGAAGAGATACCTACGTGTTTTCTATGAATATTGGTTAAATGGTAAAAATACAAAATACGTAATTTGTATAATCGAACTTTCATTTGGTCTGTCTTTAATATCACGTTCAGGGGTTACTGCCGGTCTACTGCCGGTCTACTGCCGGTCTACTGCCGGTCTACTGCCGGTCTACTGCCGATTTTTACCGGGGACCCCCTGGTAAAAATCGGCAGTAGAATCTGTGTTACAAAATACCATAGGCCTACAGGCGGCTGTAAGATTTCCAATACCTTCTGTAGTCGGCTACACAATTCCTCATAGCCTTTTATAGCCGATGGCGCACAAGCAACAGCCAGGCGATAAAGTGTATGCTAAACGTCACTATAGTCTGTTTCACGTAAGCTGATACTTTTTATTCGGCATTAAAATCCGTAAATGGCAACGCATCAGTCCCGAACGCGGTGACCTGACCGCTCGCCGGCCACCGTCTTTTGTTCAGCGACGAGAGGCCGGCAACCCGTCCATTGTGAGGGTAGGAACAATGGGCACCCTTCATCCCTCCTTAATGAGCCCTAGTACCCGGACCCAATTTTCTTTCTCGTTGAAAAATTAAACTTTTCGCGTGAAAATTCAGGTCCAGCGGGAAATTTTGATGAAAATGAACTAAAATTTCATCCGATTATCTTAATTTTTACCCGATATACGGCACTTGGGCTCATTAAGGAGAGATGAAGGGTTCCCAAATCGCGGTCAACCACAAATGCCGTATATCGGGTAAAAATTAAGATAATCGGATGAAATTTTAGTTCATTTTCATCAAAATTTCCCGCTGGACCTGAATTTTCACGCTAAAAGTTTAATTTTTCAACGAGGAAGAAAATTGGGACCGGGTACTAGGGCTCATTAAGGAGGGATGAAGGGTGCCCATTATTCCTACCCTCACAATGGACGGGTTGCCGGCCTCTCGTCGCTGAACAAAAGAGGGTGGCCGGCGAGCGGTCAGGATCACCGCGTTCGGGACTGATGCGTTGCCATTTACGGATTTTAATGCCGAATAAAAAGTATCAGCTTACGTGAAACAAACTATAATTACCTACGGATGCTAGGACTTGGTGAGTTTTTTGATTACTGCTTTCTTTTTGGGCCGTAGTATCTTGATTTATTTTGCGAGGAAAGCTCCGTACTTTTGATGGATGCCTGTCATTCCTAATATATTAGAGCGCCTTCAGTTTCGTATGATACTGTGCAATACCTCTGGTGTGAAATAGTTGTTTCAAGCGCCGTGGCACGCTGCGGCTCGGCGGGCGGGCAGAGGGCGCGAAACGCGCATTGGCGCCTACAAACCTAAGGTGATACCTCAATCATTGCGCAATGCGTAAAGTATCCCTGTTAGGTTTGTAGGTGCCAGTGCGTCGCCGCTCCGCTTTGTGTTAGGCTCTAATATTTAATCTGGCGGAGTCAGCGTTATTAAACTCATGATTTTGAAATGTTTGCACATCCTGTATGGATTATTCTCATTTTAATTGATGAAAAAAAAAATGTATTAAAGGAAAATATAATGTGTGTTTTGTAAATATTAAGGTGGTTTCGTATCAAACATAATGATTTCCAAAGCACACGAATTTCTTTACAATTTCTTTTCATTTTCCTTTCATAATCGATGGCGAAAAAGCAACAGCCAGGCGATGAAATGTAAAGCCCGGCGACAGGAACCATAGCCTGGCTGCATACTTTTTTATCGCTTCGTATAGCCCGGCCGTATGATTTTCTCCGCATTCTACAGTCAGCTATATGATTTTCTGTAGCCATCTTTAGCCAGATATAAGAATTTCTATAGTATTATGAAACGCAGCTCTTATCGCCAATTTTTACCAGGGTTGATTTCAAAACTTCCCGTTGTGTGAATTGTCTGCTCGGTAAGATTTTGAAGGGGAAACATGCGATGTTTTCTTCTACTTTAGACCTTGCCTAGCTGCCAATTTACACCCGCACTAGGAAAAAGCTATGGCTTATAAACCAATTAGTGGTCCGTATGGAACACCATTCATAGTTGTATATCGACGGTGATACTACCAGATCACGTATCTCCTTTACGATGTTTAAAAATCTCCACTCCCATTCTATTTTTTTGAAGGACACCATATCAGTGTTATTTTTTAAAGTTTTCACAGAGTTTTCTTCGCACAGCATAGAAAAATTAGGAACGTTTTCAAGAATTGAAGTTGAGTAGTTCTCAATCCAAAAGAAAAAAAAATGTAACACGAAGTTTACAACGTCGCAAACCGAGATACCTACTTGGTTTGAGAGTTTCACCATCGATATGAAATAATGATTATCGGTCTGTGAACCGTACTGTGGTAGCTCGCACCATAGTATGGTATATATACCATTATTACGGTATATATACCATAATAAAGGTATATGTACTATTATTATATGTTGCCTTCATTACTGTTAGCGGTGTTCCATATGAATCACTAATGGAGATGTTGCATGTGTGAGGGATTTGCGATTTGACCATTGATTCTTATGTAAAAGTTCGCGAGAAACACGATGGTACAGGGTTTTCTCTGAAATCCTTTCCCAAGCTCAAAAAAAGCTCTCAAAGTGAGGTCAAAATGGAGGGGATATCCCACCCTACCCTGAGAGTCCACCTCTACATCAAGACAAACTCTCCATGCAAAGGTAGGGAGTAAATACATTGACAGAGCTTCCACTTCATTCGGGGACTCTAAAACTGAAAACACGGCATCACTGCTAATGTATTTGCTCCCTATCTTTGCATGGAGAGTTTATCTTGATGTAGAGGTGGACTCTCAGGGTAGGATGGGATATCCCCTCCATTTTGACCTCAACTTGAGAGCTTTTTTTGAGCTTGGGAGTTGATTTCAGAGAAAACCAGTAGCACCATCGTGTTTCTCGCGAATTTTTACATAAAAAGCAACAGTCAAATCGCAAATTCCTCACACATGCAACATCTCCATTGGTTTACAAGCCATAGATTCGTTGCTGGTTGGGATGCGCTGGGATTCATAAAAAAAATCTCCAAGGGAGCATTTATTTTAGGACGGTGAGCTTTCGTCATTTATTCTATTCGTTTCAATAAATACTTATTAAATGGTCATAGCCTAGGTCATAGTCATAGGTCATAGCCTATTGCTGAAGCCTGACGAGGATCCCTGCCGATGGTCGATGATATTGTGCAGACTCTTCAGAAGAGTTTTGGCCCGATCGGATACGTATGCGTCCACCTGTCCGACGATTTGCATGAATTTCTTGGCCTTCTCGAGGTCCTGGATTCTTTTGGCTTGGAGGTCCGGGTCTGGTTTTCCGATTTCACGTTTCGCCCATCCATGTCGGTCTTCGTCATATCCGGGCCAAGACTCCATCAGCAGTCGCGGCATTCGGCCATGGTCGCGCGAATCCTCCGAGTCAACTGCAATCAACAAGTAAAAATAAAAAAAGGCGACACAGACGATCACACTTGGCTTCCTGGTTGCACTTAAGCAGGGGCGGACTGGTCATGGGGGCGGGGAGGCGATCACCTCCTAACAATTTGCCGCGGAGGTCCTGAAGGGGCCCCCGCCGCGATTTTTCTTGAGTCATCGTTTTCCCCGTAATGCTGTAATTTTCCAATATTTTTCAGTCACTACAAGGCCCCAAAGTCTTTGAAAATTTGCCTCTAAGAAACATAAAAGGTCGCCGAAAGCCTAAAATACAGAATATAAGGGGGAAATCTAATGGGCTCCTGGGGGCCCGGAAGTGATAAGGACCCCTGAAGAATCCTGAGAATAGATTATTTTGAAGTCCGAATACTCTTGAGGTTGACTCCAAAAATGCTCAAAATTGCGTTTTTAAAGAGTAAAATTTTCAAATTTTTCCAGGGTAGGCCCCCCAAACCCACCAGAGAGGGGCCCCCAAACGACAGGAGGGGCCCCCAAATCTAGGCAGCCTCCTGACTTTTCGATTGCCATTTGTATTTACAAACGGGTGGTTTTTCTACGGGGATTAAAAATAAACGAGTGGTACGGAATATAACAAAAGAATATGAACTATGCAAAACGATAAATTGGGTATCGGAACTCGGCTGATTTGAAAACGCCTTCAAATGCGGCGTGATACCTCACACATTCTGGAGAGTTCAAATAGTTGTATCATTGCGCCTTAGAAATGCGACGGAAGATTACAATTGAAGCAGCCTCCATGGACGCTGGGCGTGTCGATTTCCTTTGACATTTTTGCAGTGGTGAATGCATAGCTGAGGTGCGCTTCAGTTAGAATTGTATTTACAAACGGGTGGTTTTTCTACGAGGATTAAAAATAAACGAGTGGTACGGAAGAAAACATAAGAATATGAATTATGCAAAACGATAATCCGGGTATCGGAACTTGGCTGATTTGAAAACGCCTTCAAATGCGGCGTGATACCTCACGCATTCCGGAGAGTTCAAATAGTTGTATCATTGCGCCTTAGAAATGCGACGGAAAGATTTAAATGGAAATAGCCCTCATGCAGGCTTGCCGCATCCCATCTCGGGCCCTGGTACCAGTTTTAAGATCCGGGTCCCAAGCACGGAGGGGGGGGGTCCGAGGGGCATCCCCCGAGAAATTTTAGAATTTATACGACTAATCGGACGCATTTTGAAGCTTCCATAATGAATTTTTCCATCAATTTTCGCGGAATAATTATGTTTTTTTTTTTCTTACTTTCAGCACAAAATACTTGCGAATTGTTGCATTCAAAACATCTGGACCATTTTGATTTTTTTTTTTCGGGGAGGGGGGGCATATGATGCTATTTTCAGTTCTAAGAGGGCCAGGCCCCCCTGGACTCCCCCTTCGTTTGTCTATGGTAAGGGAGTTGAGCCATGAGCCATTGATGTCGAGGATGCCCAGACTGGAGACTCTTAGCATCTGACGACGGGAGAAAATGAAACGCATTTACTAAAAATATCCGTCTGTACTGAAAATCTTGAAAATAGATTGAAATTTTCCAGGAAGTATACTTCTTTGAAAATTTAAGAAAAATTCTACAGTGCCCCAGCGTGTTTCTGAAAATCTATTCACCTTTTGCGAAATTTTTAGGGTAAATTTTTCACTTTTTCTTACGAAACAAGGGTTGCATATGAATTCGTAGTGGTTTTCCACGGGTAACGTACAGGCCTCCTCCGGGACCCGGGCCCCGGTACCAGGGACCCAGTATCCCCCCCCCCCTTGTGGCGGGCCTGCACCGCAATGGAGGTACGTGGATTCGCACTTTGGCCATCGAAATAAGGTTGCAAGGTATTCAAAAGAGGGTCTGATAGTGATCCTTTCCTTGTTAGCCTCACTACTCCATACCTACACGATCAAGGTCATAATTCAGGAACTTGCTCACTGAACGTTAGTTAAACGAAGAGATTAGAATGATATTTCACGAATTTTAATGAGATCTCACTGGGAAATTTCATATTTTGAGGTTTCATGAAGTTTTGCACGAAACGCCAAAGTATTAGGTGCAGATGGGTGGTTTTACGATAACTGGAATAGTTTTGTCGGCGTAACAGACATCGCATTTTTCGGGCATATTTTTAGTAGTAATGATAATCACTCGAATTTTTTTGCATTAATGTACCCAGGGTTCCGGGTTATAACGTTTTAAAGATTTATCGCTCTGCTTTTCAATTTTAATATATAAATGGCCGAAAATGTGTTGTCTGTTACGCTGACTTTTTACAGCGTAATAGACAGCATATTTTTGGAATTTACAAAATATTAATTGAGAAGTAGAGCAATAAATCATCAGAGAGCGTTATAATACGTAACCCTATGAAGATTAATGCGAAACAATTCGAGTGATTATCATTTCTACTAAAAATATGACCGAAAAATGTGTTGTCTGTTACGGCGACGAAACTATTCTAGTTATCGTAAAACCACCCATCTGCACCTAATACTTTGGCATTTCGTAAAAAACTTCCTAAAACCTCAAAATATGAAATTTCCCAGTGAGATCTCATTAAACTTCGTAAAATATTATTCTAATCTCTTCGTTTAACTAACGTTCAGTGAGCAAGTTCCTGAATTATGACCTTGATCGTGTAGGTATGGAGTAGTGAGGCTAACAAGGAAAGGATCACTATCAGACCCTCTTTTGAATATCTTGCAACCTTATTTCGATGGCCAATAGTTATCGTGAAACCGCTCAGATGTTGGATTTCGAAACCTCACAGTATTCGTCCATGAGTTCAAGTTCTTTGGCTGAACGTATAATCCTTACCGGAAAATATAGCGCCGAGGTTTCCTTTATCACTGATCATGTTATGCATGCCGCGGAGAAGCTCCTTAGCTTTGGAGGCAAGGAAATTGTCTACGTTGCTAATAAATTTCATGAACTGAATGGCCTTTCCAATTTCCTCGTTTCGATTGTCCTCTGAAGTCCATTTTGGGGTGTTGTCCTTCAACCCCGAGCCCACGTTAAACGGCCTGTCTTCGTCTTCGTATGTGACTGAGAAAGAGGGCATGATGAACATGAGGTAAGTTATCATTGACATCTTTTTGCCAATAAGCCTGGTACAACTGAGGGGCTTGGAGGAAAAGGCGAATAAGTGCAGTTTCTACTATTTCAAGAAATGCGTGTTTGAAATTTCGACATTACATGGATCCTTATGGCGAAAAGAAAGTTCAAACTGACTTCTTGATGTTTAAAAATTTGAATTTGGGAACGAATTTTTTACAGAGTATAGTTTAAGACTAGTTTCAGTTCAATTTTTTTCAAAAACCGCACTTATGTGCCTTGTCTTCCAAGCCCCTCAAATTAGCTTCAATGCTCTTGGAGGTGTTTTTCGTCTTACGGCTAGCTAAAAGATTTCTTATATCTAGCTACAAGGATTCTCATAGCCGGCCGCATGATTTTGTATTTAACCAGATCCATACGGTCATCTGAAAGAAACCATAAAACCATAAGATCCATATCGATGGCTAAAGTTCGGAACCACGTATCTCCATTGAGTTGTTTCCAAATTTTCAATCTTGTTTCATTTTTTGCGAATAAATTTAATAAGTTAACTTCAGAGCTTGAAATATATACACAGAAAATTCTGCCAAAAAAAAGGAAAATCAAGGTAGTTATCAGGAAATTACGTTCATCAGCTTTCCAAAGAAAAAATGAAGTACCTAAATAAGATAGAAAGTATGCAACGTTGCGAACGGAGATACGTGGTTGCGCACTTTGGCCATCGATTTGGCCTCTTCAATCCTCCTTCTGATGGGCTGCTTACTAGAAAATCTGTGGCAGAGTAACTCATCCATGCAGTGCCTTAAATTCTTCAAGAGATAAGAAGAGAATTTAGTTTGGGTTTTGATTTTTAGCAGGAAATACTAACCAAGCTCTAAGTTACTCGTGGTTACCTATAATTATTCATCATTATTTTTTTTAAGATGGAAATAAAAATAGGATTTATTCTCATAGTCCTAACTTAGAATGGCCAAAAAAAAAAAAAAATTAAAGAAAAATAATAATTGCTCGATGCTTCCTAGCGTCATTTTCGTATTTTGTCATGTGGCAGGGATATCAAAGAGTCTCATCCCAGTTCCAAATTTTTAGGAGGGAGAAGGGCATACGGAACTATTTCAAACTTAAAGTAGGGGGTAAGTCCCTTCCATAGAGTACATAGAGTCGTAATGTAAATTGGAGAGCTGGCGCCATGTTCTGCTCGACGAGTTCCGAGCCCGGTGTGCGCCGAGCTTCGGTCACTTTTTCGATTCATGTTCGATCCAAAATGGCGGTGTGGAACACGTGGTAATTCCTTTCTTCTTTGTTTACATCGGATATCCGGATATCCGGATATCGTCGGGTATCCGTGTATCGAAAACAATCGATCATGTATCGAAAAAGCGACCCGGCGTCACACAAAGAGTCTCGGAATTCGGGACCTGGAAAATGCTTAAAAATGGCGCCAGCTCTCCCACTTACATTACGACTTTACGTACTTTATGGCCCCATCCTGCCTTTTAAAAGCTAAGACGTTATATACGCCTCAAATAAGGTAGGATACCATGTTACGTACTTTTGGCAACTTTGGAGACATGGGATTGTGGTTTCCGCGAACTGATGAGCTCGTCCAGGGTTCTGAGGCGCGGAATGTCATTGCCGTGTGAGATGACGGTCGTGTCTATGTCGATGGCCGCGCCACGCACCAAAACATCAACACCGTGGCTCCATACCTGATGACAAAAATTATAAACATTTCTTATATTAAGGTGGATTTTCAGTTTTTGGAGGACGATTTGATAATCGATCGATCAATCGACCGTTTCTAGATTTTAGGAGATTTCTTCGAAATCGCCGAACACCACATCACGCTGTGGACCGCCCAAGTAGAGCAGTGCAACGAAAATATTGAAATTGAATTGCAATTTGATTTCACTAAAATTGTAATTTCGTTATCATTAAATTATTGAAATATTTTTACATCATTTAGTCGATTTATGCCGATTTTCAACAATCAGCAAAATGAGCTTCATGTGTCAGAAAGAAAGGCAATATGCAATGCAATGAAAAATTGCAACTTGTTTCGATTTTACTGCAATAAGTTTCAATAAATGAGGCCCCTTCAAATAGGAGCTGGGCAACTTTCGCAACACTTAGTGGAATTGCTATATTTTTACTTGCAATTGCTACTTATTGCAATCTGTGCTACTTGGGCGTCAGGTGTTTGCACACAAGATATGACCGCGACGTTCATGCAGTTTGAATCAACATGGGAAGAACGTCCCTTGTGAAGATTGCAAATTGAAAGGCTATACAATTTCAGATTTCTAGTGCGTATTGCGTTACCAGACTTTTAAGGCTATTTTAAAATTTACTTAAGAACTGATAATTAAGAAGCTGAAATTAAAAAGCTTAATTTAAGAGCTGATTCCTATGTGAAATTTCGTGAGAAACACGATGATACTACTCCACTGTCTCTCTGAAACAAACTCCGAAGCTCAAAAAAAGCTCTCAAAGCTGAGGCCGTAATGTAGGGATATCCCACGCTAGGTGCCCTGAGAGTCCACCTCTGTGTGAAGACAAACTCTCTATGCAAAGAAAGGGGTCAAATACATTAACAGGGTTGCCACTTTGTCGGGGGACTCTAAAACTGAAAACACGGCAATCCTGCTAATGTATCCACTCCCTTTTTTTTGCATAGAGAGTTTGACTAGCTATATAGAGGTGGACTCTTAAGGTAGCGCGGGGTATCCCCTCCATTACGGCCTCATTTTTAAGAGCTTTTTTTGAGCTTTGGAGTTGGTTTCAGAGAAAACCAGCGACACCATCGTGTTTCTTGCAAAATTATTTAATTTTACGTAGCAGTGCTTAGATCGCAAATTTTTGACACATCCAAGAGATTTCAGCTCGTAACCGCACCTTGCATACAGGCCCACTGTAAGCATGCCTGCCAAATTCATGCTATCAGATAATTGTACGTTTTTGGAGACTTCAGGTCATGCTACTCTTGTTCGAATAGCTTGGATGGTTCACATTGGCGGATCCAGCAAATTGGCAACATTGTCTTTTCTCCATCGAAACCTATGGAAATGTATTGATTCTTGGAGGGGCCAGGTGCTCCGACAATCAATTATTTAGTATAGGTTTAAATTGAGGAAATCCGGTGTAGCCAAATTGCTAGATCCGCCTCTGGTGGTTCATTATACGCGGATATGATGATCGCCCAAACCAGCGGCGGTTAAATATGCACCAGCTACTGTGTGATATGGATAGCATACCTGCCGTAATAGGCAACACAGGCACCGTGGTGGGTAAATTAACTCTTACGGTAGTTCTCGGTTTAATATGGCAACAACAATGGTGTTTAATGTGACTACCGGGTTAGTTTTCTCATACACTACGGTAGTTATCGTAACCGCCGTATGGTAGCTGGCACATTTGAATCAGCGTGAACGAAAACACACCAACTCGGTAACTCAAAAATGCTCAATTTTCATTGAAGAGAGTCAATTTTCACAAAAGTCATTGAAGTGAACGCATCGGTTCAAACTTGGACCTTTCAAGTATCCTTAAGTACTTGTCTTTCGGTACCAAAACTTTTTTCTTGTGCTAACCTCTTCAACTATTGTGCAGTTTTGCGCGTGTCTTGATAATTTTCATTTTTTTGAGTTGGTGTGTTTTTGTTCTCACTGATTCAATTTTAACCAGCCGCTAGTTGTGGTGCATATTTTTCCCCCTGCGCAGGGGGTTGAAGACATTTTGTGTCCAGACGGTTCGAATCGACGGACAGATGTCGATAACGAGTAACGTACTTGATCCATCGTTTAAAAAATGATGCAATGAGAGGCGCAAATATAGATTACCTCTGTTTAACTTACCAATAACGATAAAAAGCAGCTAACAGCTCCCATCGCACCAGAAATATTCTATCACAACGCGAGGCAGATAAAGTGCGTGCACAATTAAGAAAACAAACGATTAGAGCTCTTGGACTGAAGCTCAAAATTCGTGATAAGTGACAAAAAAACAGTGAAGGGCACCACTAACTAAACGGACGGAGATTCTTGGATATCTCACGGTGATTCCTTGATGACGCGATGCTCCGTACGCGCAGATTGTTGACCATCCGCGAAGATTTGTTTATTTTTTTGGAACAGTAAGAAGTCCGCGTGAAAATTCGTCAGCCACGAGGTTCAGAGATTGTGAGAACGGAAGCTGGGCCCAATGATGTGTCACGTGAAAAATTCTCGGATTCATACATGTTGGAGCGGGAAATTCATGATAAAATAAAAAAAATGATTCATATAAAATGTTTATTTTAAAAATGTCATCCGAAATGCCTTGGAAAACTGGAAAAAAAACACATTGGATCTAGAGTCCAGACTCTTGAAAACATTGACAAGAAAAAATACTCTTGATTCAATCAGATTTTTGCTTAAATCGAAAGGAAATCCGCTCAAATTAAGAGGCTTGGTTCTTGATCTAAGCAAAAATCCGATTGAATCAAGAGTATTTTTTCTTGTCGATGTTTTTAAGAGTCTGGACTCTAAATCCAATGTGTTTTTTCCAGTGAAGGAACGTAAGAGATGACAAAACTATGTAAAACATATCGACGGTGTAAGTCGGCAATCACATAACTCGTTTGCGGTGTCTGAAAATCTCCGCCTCTATAATATTTTTTTAGAGGAGAAAAAATTGACATCATTTCTTGAAGTTTTTGCAGAATTTTCTTCACATAGAAAAGAAAAATCACGACAGTTTTAAAGAGTTGCCGTTGAGTAGTTTCCCGTTTAAAAAATGAAGTATGACAGGAAGTCTGCGACGTCGCAAACCGAGCTATGTGATTGCCGACTTACACCGTCGATATAGTCTACCCAGGTATGGTACTTTGAAAGTTGGGAACTTTAGCAAAATCCAGGATAGGCCGGAACAGGCTTGAAGCTTCCGAGGCTTTGAAATTCCGAATTCGATGTCATTTGTTTCAGCACAAAGGACCGCTCTATTCCAAAAAGGCTGCGCTAGGGTCAGAAGTTTGTTGAATCTACACCAGTGCCGAATGAGGAGGAAATTATAAGGTTGTTTGGATGGTGTGATTCGTTCATCAAGTCAAACACATACTGTGAATCAAAGACATCCCATTCAAAAATGTTAATATGAAGGTTATAGCGGCCGCCATTCCCCCCTGGTAAAAATTGGCGATAAGAGCTGCGTTTCAAAATATATATACAAAGTCGCTTTATAACGCACTCTGGCGTTCTACGACACCCAAACGCCACATATGCCTGTCTTCCCAGAGGAAAATACCATAGGAATTCTTATAGCCGGCTAAAGAAGGCTACAGAAAATCATATAGCTGGCTGTAGAATGCGGAGAAAATCATACGGCCGGGCTATACGAAGCGATAAAAAATTATACAGCCGGGCTATAGTTCCTATCGACGGGCTTTACACTTTATCGCCTGGCTGTTGCTTTTTCGCCATCGATTATAAAAGGCTCTAAGAAATTGTGTAAAAATTCTTGTGCTTTGGAAATCACTAAGTTTGATACGGAACCACCTTAATATTTAAAAAAAAAAACACATATTATATTTTCCTTTAATACATTTTTTTTTCATCAATTAAAATGAGAATAATCCATACAGGATGTGCAAACATTTCAAAATCATGAGTTGAATAACGCTGACTCCGCCAGATTAAATATTAGAGCCTAACACAAAGCGAAGCGGCGACGCACTGGCGCCTACAAACCTAACAGGGATACTTCACGCATTGCGCAATGCGTGAAGTATCCCTGTTAGGTTTGTAGGCGCCAATGCGCGTTCCGCGCTGGCTGCCCGCCTGCCGCGCCGCAGCGTGCCACGGCGCTTGAAGCAACTAGTTCACACCAGAGGTATTGGACAGCATCATACGAAACTGAAGGCGCTCTAATATATTAGTAATGGCAGGCATCCATCAAAAGTACGGAGCTTTCCTCGCAAAATAAATCAAGATACTACGGCCCAAAAAGAGAGCAGTATTCCAAAAACTCACTAAGTCCTAGCATCTGTAATTAGTAACGTTTAGCAAACACTTTATCGCCAGGCTGTTGCCTAATCGCCATCGGCTATAGAAGACTATAAGAAATTGTGTTGCCGGCTATAGAAGCTATTGGAAATCTTACAGCCGGCTGTAGGTCTATGGTATTTTGGAACACAGATTCCACTGCCAATTTTTACCAGGGCCAAATACGCATGTACGCACCACTGATGGCAAAGGGTTACTCTCTTTTCATATGACAGACTGTCATCAGCCATGAAAATATGAGGATCATGTGGATTACATTTAGCAATAAGGAACCACTATCTCTGGCTCCCCCATAAAAGCACATATCTGCGCACGGAAACCAATGGCATGTATGCTGTTTCTTAGATGGGCCAGAAATAGTGGTTCCTTATTGCAAAATGTGATCCATGTATTCATTCACTTGGAGTATGCTTGACTCACTGAATTTTGCCAGCTTACTCTTAAATAGTTAAGTCGGGTCAAATTAACACGCCTTTTTACTCGAGGGGAAGTAATGGTGCCGGTACATACAAGCTTCAAGTATAGATCTTCAATTACACTCTGAAAAAAATCAGACATCAAATTGAAAAAAAAATCGAGTATTAATACAGCCGAAGATAGGAAAGACGTATTCAGGTCTCGTTTTTTAATCTGAACGACACCTCATCGGCAGCATGTAGAGCGGAGTATAGCGAATTCACGCCATGGCGCCTTCAGTTTTGCAGATGCAACAAAGACATCCATCAAACACGAATAGTTGTATCTCTGCGCCGTTGTCAATGCGCGTCCTTTCCCTTGCTTCATTTCCATATTGCGTGGGTCAAGTTTGTCTTATTTGTCCTGGGGAACTTCATCGTAAATGTGTAGCAAACTAGGAAAATGCAGTAGCACAGTATCATTGTACTTTTGTAGGTATGCTATAATATTTATTTATTTCTTTCTTTCTTTCCTCTTTCTTCACTCTGATTTTGGTCCAAGAAGGGGAGGAATCTACCACTGGTGCTGTGTTGCTGTTAAAATCCTAAAAATCATGTGATGGTCCATGTTGACGAGCCTGCCATCTTCCATTAAATTTTTCCGCTTCCGTTATTCGTCATTACAACGGACCTACGTATGATGCTTCTTCTATCAACAATAGATCAGAAAAGTGCGTCATTAGTCTTTGATTATTGGCGATCAGCGATCAGCTATCAGCGATCAGTGATCAGAAAAGATAAGACCACCCGCATATGCAGTGTTTTGGAGATCTGCACGTCTTCGTGAGGAAAGTTGAACCCGCTATAAAAGCAAAACCTTATTAAAATTTCTTAAGTTTTCGATTTTGCGTTGCATCGAGTGTTTTTTCAAACTGTGTGAGACCGTGGCTTGAGTGCTGGGACTGCTTTCGGAAAAAGTCACGGTAGAAATAAAGTCTTGTGTGAAAATAGTCCAGTTGAACGAGTCAACAGATTCGAAAGTATAATTTTTTGCGTAAAATTGTCACTCGACAAAGTTTTATTGCGAGTTGACTGCGGTGTTTTAAAAGCATCAAAAGAGCACCCTTCTTTACAGCACCGTTGTTTTAAGTGTTCACTTGTTTCACTGTCAAGAGAAGAAAATGGAATCCTGGGTTGTGTGTTTGATGGTTTGCTTGTCTCTCTTCTTCGCTTTCAGCGATTTAGCACAAGTGAGATTTATTTTTTTACCTTAATTTTTTAAGGCGTCAAATGTCGACCATTCCCTTGAGTATCGAAATGTTCTGGAAGCCTTCATGGTTATTAAGCTTTTCCATGAAAAATAATACGACGATACCTTAAAATGATTTTGATGTAACACTCGCTTCATACCGGACTGCGAAAATTCCTTGCGTGAAAAAATATATTTTTCCTTTGACCCAGAAACTTCTTTAGACAATTATGGAGTGTTTTAAATGAAAAAGTAGCTAGGAATCAAGCTCGGATTGAAGTGTTACAGGTTTCGTAGGTTTGACGAACTTTGAGGCCGCCCAATCGGTGGTGCGGTATGCTTTGCGATACATAGATTGAGCTGCTACATAAACCTACGGGAAAGGATCGATAAACAGGGTGTTCGCAACAAATACCTTAATAATCGATTCTTCACCATAGCCTCAAATGAGAAAATATCGATAATCGATCATTCACGCCTCGCCACTATGGCCAAGTATTACGGCCATCGATCAGTGGCGAGGCGTGAATGATCGATTATCGATATTCCCCCACTTGAAGCTATGGTAAAGAATCGATTATTAAGGTGTTCGTAGGTGTATTAGGTGTTCCATAGGTTTAAATGGCAGATCAATCGATACATCGCAAAGCACGCACGCCATAGCCACCGATGTGCATTGTGCAGCGTCCTCTGGTTAAAATTGTTATTGCAAATAATGGGTGCGTTGCGCTGGTCACAAAATCGTGTTTTGATGCTGAATTCTTGTAGATTAGCCAAAAATAATATGATCTGTTCGAACCGAAACTTCCTACGTTCAATATTAACCGAGATATAGCCCTTTGAAAAGTCGGGTTTTTGACGTCATCCATCGCGGCATTGACGCCCTTGGTTTCCTCCACCTTGCTTTTATCCGAGTCAAACGTTAAATAACCAGTGTAAAGCGTCACACCAACTAATGGTGAAAGGAAGGTGGAAGAAACCATGGGTGTCACTACCACGGTGGATGACGTCGAAAACCCGACTTTTCAAAACGCGATATCTTGGTTAATATAGAAGGTAAAAAGTCGCGGTTTGGACGCATCTCATTATTTTTAGGTAATCAACAAGAATCAATTACTAAAACAAGATTCTGTGACCAGCGCAACGGACCAATGGACCACTAGACAAGATACGAATATTAGCATTCTGATACGTGATTCCTAACTAAAATTTCACGTAGAATACGACTCGCACAACGGAAATTACCGAAATCAACTCCTTTCAAAGATATTCAATAATTCTTGATGCGTCAATTCAAATCACCCGCTCATGAAAACTCAATACTCTGCGTGATTCACATCGTGCGCTAAACGTTATCTCGACAGTCTCTGCGATATAAAAATCTGGCAACCTCAATATTGACGCTTTGGCTCAGCTGTAGCAAATTTTTTATAGTTTGAACAACACATTGTGGGAAATGAACATTACTCGATTGAGAAGCTTGTTGAAACCCCTGAAGTGCGCGGTTTGACTCACGTAGAGCTTTGAGTTTCTTGTGAGCGGGCAGTTCAACTTCCTCGTGATCAATGTGAAATAAAAACGTTACTATTTTCTTTTGGAGTTTGTTTCATTAGTCTTCGTTGCGCGAATCGTGCTCTACGTGAAATTCTGGTCAAGAAACATGTATCAGAATGCTTTAATTCGTACCTTGTCTAGTGGTCCATTGGTTTGGCTGCCCTACAATGCTACTTTCGTGTCCTTTCAGTGGCTCGTACAGTTTATAAGATGGAAATTTTGCGTTTGATTTTTCAGGGATGTCCCCACGGACACGGACATGGTCACGGACACGGACACGGACATGGCTGGGGTGGATGCGGTTGCGGCGGTTGCGGTGGATGGGGAGGTAATTTCCAAGCTAGGCTCCAACGACTCCAATGGCTCTTTTCACTCCCCTTTGCCCTATAACTCACCTCCACTCTCCTTCCCCCTCCCTGACTCGATATCATTAATCCTCCCTTCCTCAAACAGCGCCCTGCACTATTATTTGCTGTAGAGAGGCTTGTTGGAGGAGCCAATCAGCAAAAATGGCAAGTTGAAAAAGACCGAGTTGATACTCATTTGTAAATGGCTTTAATTTATTGATGACTCCAAAAGGAGGGGTATCGATAAGGGCCGTTTTTGAGCCGAACCTAGCTGAAACCCAACAATTTTTTGCGCATTAAGGGTCTATCTTTTACCATGATTTAGTCATGTCCGGTCTCTTTCCGAGTTTAATATTGGTCTAAACATGGGTCTGATGCGATGTATCAATTGCCCTGAAATTTAAACTTATATTAAAAAGGATCGATACACAGCAGTAATGTGGCGTGCTTTCCGATATATCTATCGATCTGTCATTTAAAATTCTGGGAAAAGGATAAACAGGGTGTTCGCGACGAACACCTTAATAATTCGATCCTTTAAAAATATTTTTTCATACAGACGGTTTTCCGTAATTTTAGAGTCATGCCCATGTTAAAGCTAAATTCAAGTGTTCATGCAACGGTGGCAAGCAAGTATTGCTGACAGTAGAAAACATTTGGTACACTGGAGAACGAAATAAATAACGGATCTAAAATTTAACGTAAAGCACGTTTATGAATAATTGATTCTTATTCTCGGCTCAGTTTTCGGTTTAAAGCCGTGCCTTTTTCAATAATCTACTTTCCGCTTTTGCGAGTTATCATTTGACGATACGCAGATCTTCTGAAAACCAGCAACTTGGAGGCCATGTTAAACACCACTTTGTCAAATTCCACGCAGATTGTTGCTTTGCCTATGACTTTGATCGATTTCGCCAGTCTCAAGCAAAGGTCTTTATATATATATGAGTCGCTTTTATAGCGCTCTTTGGCGCTGTGCGACGCCTAATCGCCACAAAGCTCGGTCTTCCCACAGGTCATCAGGGAGTTGACAATCTCTTATCTCATTTAACACCCCCTGTCGCCAACCTCTCACTGGGCGTCCCCNCTTCCACCCCCCTCTTCCACCCCTTCCTTGGAGTATCATCTGTGAATTTCTTGTCCTCCGTCCTCACTACAAGGAGTTATTTCTTCTTTCTTTCCCTCTGAACCCCTTGGCATGAATTCAAGTTCAGTACATATTGAGCCAATTACTTTTAAGTTTCTTTTAGTGACGTCCGTCTTGAAGTCCAAGTCATATGCGTCAACGTATTGGGTGCACACCTTCTCAATCGGCTAAGCAGGACATCGTTTTTCCTCTGGACACCGTGCCCTAGACAAACGGGTAGGATTACCATTGCGAGCGTATCAAATTCAGTGGCGTGGCGTGCTTTGCGATAGATCGATTGCCCTGTGATTTAAACCTATGGAAAAGGATCGACAAACAGCATTAATGTGGCGTGTTTTGCGATATATCGATCGATCTGCCATTTAAACCTATGGAAGAAGATCGATAAACAGAGTGTTCGAGACGAACACCTTAATAATCGATTCTTTGCCATAGCTTCAAATGGGGATCGATAGATATCGATAATCGATCACGCCTCGCCACTTATAAATGGGGTGTTCGCAACGAATACCATTATTAGCGATTCTTTACCATAGCTTCAAATGGGGAAATATCGATAATCGATCATTCACGCCTCGCCACTATCAAACATGTCATATATTTATGAATGCATTAAGGAAACGGGGTCCATCTAATTACATTTTTTAACGGGGAAGCACGTGCCTACATTTGAGCTTTTCGTGGCAAATATGTTTCTCCAAAACTACATTTTTTTAAACGGACCTAGGTATCCATATTATTAAGCATTTACTATACAAAGTACAATATTTTTGAGGACCTAATGAAATGAGGGGCTTGGAGGACAAACCGCATGAGTGCATTTTTTGCTATTTCGAGAGATACATGTTTGAAGTCTCGAAATCACATGGATCCTTATGACGGAGAGAAAGTTCAAACTGACTTTCTGATGCTTAAAAATTGGAATTTGGGAGCGAATTTTTCACAGAATATGCATTAAGGCTAGTGTTACTTAAAATAATTAATATCTCAATTTTTTTTTCAAAAACTGCATGTATGTGCCTTGTCCCCAAGCCCCTCAAATTATTAAAGATACAAAGTTTGTCACAAATGAGTGGAAATGCAAAGGTTACAGAATAGAGAAAACACAAAGAGGGTAGACTAGACTAAGGATTAAATTGAGGTGACGAAACTGATGCTTCTATGGCTAGAGTTACACAGATATATTTTGAAACTAAAGATATTTCCATTTGCAACTTACTCAAAGGAGAGAGAAAAATAATAACACATGAAAAAAATATAAACAGATGCTAAAGAAGTCTGGAAACCTTAGTAAAGTACTCTGGGCGCGTTATGCATATTGCAGACTGCAAGAGACAGAGGGATTTTCGGCTAGTGGTAGCTCTGTACTTGCAGTATGTATGGACGTGTTTATGCTAAAAAGAACTATGTGCATAGGGTTAGCATGTGACATAGCTCCTTTTAGCATAAATATGTTCGTATATGTGTCGGATTGGCCTCACCGTGTGGGGGACTCCGAAACTGAACATAGTAATGGGTCCCGTTTGCTAATGGTGACATACTGATTTAATGATGAGGTAATTTTATTCGTATTCCCTACTTTTTAACACCGTTTCATTTGCTAATATCATCGGACTGAGTTTCCTGGATTTTTCAAACATTTTGTAAACGATAAAAAAAAACAAGGTAATTTTTTGCTTCAGCTAAAATTTTTTCTCTTTTTTTTTGCTGCAATGGCTGGACTAATCATCATTTTAGTCCACGTACTGCCGCAGCAAGCATGCATTGCAGACACAAATAGAGGAAATATTTGCTTAAAGAATTTTTTTAATCTCGCTCTGACTCATGATTCTCAGTCCTATAGATTAACGCTTAAAAATCATTTAATCACGAATCAAAGGTAAAAAAAAGGAGAGAGGGGAAAAGGTTAAGGTGGATACTGACCTTCTAAAGATTCTCGCGGAAATTTTAGAAAGTAAGAAATCTTAAATGTGGAAGGGGGAGGGGGGCTGAGGGATGGTCCCTCTCGATGTCTTAAGTGTCTTTTCTGAAGGAATTCTGCCATGCTAAGGGTGAACGCCGTATGAGCCATCAGGCGTTGCTAAATTTTCTTTGATGAAGTAAGAATATCTTGGTAAGCTTATGAATATTTTTCTTCCAGTTTTACAGTAAATTTTTTTGGCAATTTCGCCTAAAGCTCCTGAAAATTTCAAGGTAAAATATTAATGACTTTTCTCATAAATAAACATTTTATCGAAGGCAATTCGGCAACTCTCGAATGTTCATACGCTGTTTTTCTTCAGCACGGTAGAATTGATCAGCTACCTTGATCCATTTCTATATGATCTTAAGTTCATTGATCGGTACCAGTTGTGTGTGTATAATCGCACGAGATAGTGAGTACGTAAAGTCCATGCGTGAAATTTAAAGCCAAACTCTCCCCCAAAAAGGAAAGTTGGCTAGTTCATTGCGACTTAGCGTTGCGCGAGCGTTTCTTAGTCGCTCACTTTTTTTTACATACCTATTGACAGCTCTTTTTTGTTTGTTTTTTTCTCTGGTTTTTCCCGTCCCACCTTCAGTGAACTTAACCCATGACCTCAGTTATCAGCAATTTCTCCTCTCGATTTTTTCTCCTCAGAAATATTCAAATGCATGCGTAACATCACGAAAAAACACTTCCTGCTTTAAGCGCTAATAGAATTATGCTCATCTATTTCTCAGGTTTTTGACCCTGCGGTTTGAGAATACCTTCTAATTGAATACTTCTTCGAGCTTTATTTAATAGGCAAAGTTTTTTGTAAATACTTTCAGTCCGTCGATACCACGAGTCNTCTGAAGTACTGAAGTACTCCGGGCGTTTTATGTATCGCAAATTGCAAGAAACAGATGGAATTTTGGCTAGTGGCAGCTCTATTCTCGCAGTGTTTGCCTATCGGCATGGTCTCGCGGTATGTACGGGGGGCTTCGAAATCGAGCATAGTCATGGATCCCGTTTGCTTACTCATATAATGATGAGGTTACTTCATTCGTATTTCCCACTTTTCAACACCGTTTCATTCGCTAGTATCGCCGGAATGAGTTTCTTGGATTTTTCAAACATTTTGTAAATGATAAAAAAAACCAGGATAATTTTTTGCTTCAGCATAAATTTTTTCTCTTTCTTTTGCTCCAATGGCTGGGCTAATTGGATTGCATTCTGCAAAAAGGAGCCACTAGCATTGCAATGTTGCTAAGATTGTGCAACTTCTTTTGTCTTGGAGGAAAAACCCGATTATCCCTTAATAGTTTCTATTTTACTCGCTAAAAACTGTAAATTCAAAACAAAAATTACCATCTAAATTTCATAGTTTTTCACAATTTCCGCAATTTTATTGCAAAGGATGAAGTTGCACAATCTTAGCATCATTGCAATGCTAGTGGTTCCTTTTTGCAAAATGCAATCCGATTATCATTTTAGTCCGCGCACTGCCGCAGGAAGCATGCATTGCAGACATAAATAGAGGAAATATTTGCTTAAAGAATTTTTTTAATCTCGCTCTGACTCATGATTCTCAGTCCTACAGATTAATGCTTAAAAATCATTTAATCACGAATCAAAGGTAAAAAAAGGAGAGAGGGGAAAAGGTTAAGGTGGATACTGACCTTCTAAAGCTTTTCGCAGAAATTTTAGAAAGTAAGAAATCTTAATTGTGGAAGGGGGAGGGGGGTCAGGGATGGTCCCTCTCGATGTCTTAAGTGTCTTTTCTGTAGGAATTCTGCCATGCTAAGGGTGAACGCTGTATTAGCCATCAGGCGTTGCTAAATTTTCTTTGATGAAGTAAGAATATCTTGGTAAGCTTATGAATATTTTTCTCCCAGTTTTACAGTAAATTTTTTTGGCAATCTCGCCTAAAGTTCCTGAAAATTTCAAGGTAAAATATCAATAACTTTTCTCATAAATAAACATTTTATTGAAGGCAATTCGGCAACTCTCGAATGTTCATACGCTGTTTGTCTTCAGCACGGTAGAATTGATCAGCTACCTTGATCCATTTCTATATGATCTTAAGTTCATTGATCGGTACCAGTTGTGTGTATAATCGCACGAGATAGTGAGTACGTAAAGTCCATGCGTGAAATTTAAAGCCAAACTCTCCCCCAAAAAGGAAAGTTGGCTAGTTCATTGCGACTTAGCGTTGCGCGAGCGTTTCTCAGTCGCTCACTTTTTTTTTACATACCTATTGACAGCTCTTTTTTGTTTGTTTTTTTCTCTGGTTTTTCCCGTCCCACCTTCAGTGAACTTAACCCATGACCTCAGTTATCAGCAATTTCTCCTCTCGATTTTTTCTCCTCAGAAATATTCAAATGCATGCGTAACATCACGAAAAAACACTTCCTGCTTTAAGCGCTAATAGAATTATGCTCATCTATTTCTCAGGTTTTTGACCCTGCGGTTTGAGAATACCTTCTAATTGAATACTTCTTCGAGCTTTATTTAATAGGCAAAGTTTTTTGTAAATACTTTCAGACCGTCGATACCACGAGTCCGATAGCTTTTTTATAAGTTAAGCTCGATCTTAAAATTTCTATTTTCAGTGTTGCTAGGAATGGGTTGAATGAAAACTTTCAAGATGAATTAAAAATTTTCACTGAAAAAAAAAATAAAAGTTTGAAAATGTGATTCTTGATTTTCGACGTGCGACTGTAAGTTCATACATATAAATTAAAGGAAAACTGTTTTGGTACTAAAAAATAACAACTAACTAACTAATATTTGTTCTTGTAGGTAATTTGCCGAGATTCTGTGTTAGTAGTGAACAGCAAAAATTTAAGGTTAAAATACTGTTCAGTTTCCTTATATTAAAAAAAAATTACAAGAAAATACTTCGAGAGTTTAGAATGAAGGTACCTACGCTTTTTTCGAAATTACATTCTGCAATCATTCAGCTTATCTCGAGTAAGGAAGATTGAAAAAATTACATAATGCTCTTGATTTTAAGCGAGAGGATTTTTGATACCGCAAAGGTGAGATCCATTCAGATGAGCATACGATCAAGACCTTGATCTGAATACCTCCTACTAGAAAAGAGTTTATCTTTGCATACATTCTAAAATGACATAAATAAGCTTAAATGAAAGTTAATAATTCTCATGCGATCATTTAATTGCATTATTGTTGTTTATTGTACCGAGAGAGAAAAGAGGAAAAACTGCACTAGTTCTGAAAGATAAAAATCATGTTATTGTGATTATGCCTGTATACCAATACTTATTTCCGTTGAATCCGTTGATCTTAGCTTCAACCTTTGTATTTTCTTGATTTTCATTCAACCTGAATCTAGTTTGCTCAAAATACATGAGATACTTACGATGAAAAAAAAAAATATCTCAAGAAAGGAAAAAAACACAAATGTATGAAATACGCACAGTATTTGAGATAGACCTCTACCGAAGTTAAAGAAAACAGTTCCAGAGAACCCTTTCACGAAAAAGTTATACCTCATGGGTCAGGAGGGGGGGGGGGGGGTGTTTTGATTGGTGCCACCTATTTTAGGTTAATTCAAAATTGAGGGAAGTTGTGGACATGGAAACTTGATCGACGTGGAGATTTTAAAACGCACCGAATCGAGGACACATGTTTTTGCAATTTTACATAGATATATGTGCCACTAGACCGCCCACCCTTGCGTCTTGCGCCACCTCAGAACATACAGTGTTTTGGCTGCATCTATGATTTATTCGTCTAATTTTTCAAAAACTATTTTTCAAATTTTAAAAGCTCTTGAAAATTAAGTTTGGGGTTTCTTTTTACCAAATCCCAAAAATTCACTCATTGTCAGTGACTCTCTAAAAACGCTGATTAAAATATAATACTAATACCAACATTGAATAATATAATTTCTCTAATACTAAAATTTTAAAAAAAAATAGCCGTAAATTCATCGCGCAGGAAAAAGGAGACAAATAGAACACAACAATGGATAAAATACTAATTGTAAGTAGATTCTGAAAAACTCAACCCCGTGAACGAGGAATTTAACATGGGTCAGTAATGAATCTCGAACTTTCATCCACAGCGTTGAAGTACCCGCTGTATGAATTCATGTAGTGGCTACCTACGTAATTCAATCTAAAACGTTGTGCAATGTTTCCAATGTAAACAGATAAATATCTCCGGGTGGTTGAATGCATCTGGGTGTTTCTCACAATCGATCAAGTAACACAGAGCAACGAACGCATTGAAGCAATTTCTCAATTTGATGCAATAAAATTGCAATTTTTTCACAATGAAATTGCAATATTGTTACATAATTTGCTCAATAAATGCCTAACTCCCATGTGTGATCAGATCGTGATGTAGGAAAAATTGCAACTTATTTCAGTTTTACTGCAGTAGGTTGCAAGCCCCTTCAATATACGAATATGCAACATTCACGACACTCCGACAAAATGGCAATAATGTTATCATATAATTGCAATGCATTACAACCTCTGCTTTTTAGAAATCTCGTGTCTAGCGTGTCTTAAATTGATCAATTACTGTCCATACTCAACTCAAGATTTGATCCTGAGGTACTGTTATTCAACGTTTACATTGGGTACCTACATCTATACATATCTGTTACTATACGCAAGAAGGAAAGAGACCTTAGTCGGAGTTTGTCAAATTTTCAGTGTTTATAGTAATTCTCATCGAAATGGATGGAAAAATTAGATATAGAATCTCGACCGAGAACTTTTTTGAATGGCCTGGAGAATGTTTGCGACAGGTTTTGTGAATTTTTTTGCGCCGGTAGAGCTTGTAAAAGTGCAGTATAGTCCTGCAATTTGTATCCCAAACGAAGCAGATCAGAACTTGTAATTGTTCTTTAGGGCCGGATTCAGGGGGTGGCCAAATGAGCCGCGGCCCATGGCGGCAAATTTAAGGGACGGGAAATTTTGCAAATTTTTTTAAATGCAGGTATAAAAAAATAGGATTCAGAAAAAAAATTACAAACGAGAAAAAGCGACAAAAGCTCTCATTTCCTGAGGTCACAGTAATTTCTAATTTGGCCGTCTTTCGGTGATACAAGAGACAGCACCTTTATATAGTCAAAATGAGAGAGAAACCAAACACGCATGGAGCGGCGTGGCGCAGAGAGCAATGTTGACGAGGCCTCCAGATGAAAAAAGAAGCCCTCGGTGCAGCTGTTGGCATGTACCACATATTAGCGCCTACAAGACTGAATGAATACTTCACGCATTGCGTCAAACACAGTGCGGTCAGCAGCGGTTGGCGGGAAACGCATAGCGCCTACAAGACTGCAGGAATACTTCAAGCATTGCGCCAAACACAGTCCGGTCAGCGCGGCGATGCGGCGGAAGTTAAAATTATTAAACCACATTTATGTTTGTTCTTTCCTAATTTTTTCGATCATTTCTCATAAATGGAAGGCCTTGTCCACATAGAGATAGGTTTACGGAACTTAACTTTCACGGAAAGTTCCGTGAAATTTTGCTGGTAGTGATGGTAGGACATTCGCAAACAATGTGTCCGACACGAGTGAATGCGTCTTATGCACCTCTCCCTCTCGGGCACGTTCACTTGATGGTTTTTATTGATGTTTCAAAACGAATGAGAAGGGGGCGGCAACATACAGGCGGCCCATGGGCGGCAAATAGGTGAATCCGGCCATTGACAACCCAAGACTTTTTTTTTGAATTCCTAAAGTTGAACCACGAAAACTCCGGTCCGGTTTGAAAAACTATTAAGCGTCATGTTTTGAAAACTTCGGTGATTTTTATCCTTATGCACTTAAAAACTATTCCGTAAAAATTTTAGACATGGTGTTGGCTATTTTATTTGAATTTATTTATTTCGTACTTTCTAACTAATTAAACATGTTAACCTCATTCATTTTGTTGCAGGATGCGGATGGTGCTAAGCTTTGAAGATTAAAAGATGGTGAAATCAAAAATGTGTTGAAGCTGTCTTGCTTGCAACACATAAAGCTTATGAAAAAGGGAAAACCCCTATGAAGGAAAAATATTTGAACTGTTCTAGCTTCTAATTTTTGGCACCAATTGTTAAACAGCATTGTTATACTTGCTAATGTTAATAAAGTAATTATTTTGTGTTAAATTTCATAGTTTTGATCTATGAAAAGCTCAAAAATATTTGATTCTCGTGGAGAATCGCCTTCAAAATTACCCAAACCTTATCCCAATCCGCGTAAAAGCACTTTTTAAAAATTCTTCAAAAATGTTTTTTAGAATACCCTTTTAAAATATTACTTTCGTAAAGTTTACTCTGTTAAAATTACGCCTACAGGTATAATATTGGTCTCTTGGTCTCTACACGTTACGAATAAAACTTTTGAAACAGGAAACAACTACTCCCTAAAAGCTGTCGTCAAGCTAAACTGAAGTATTAATTGTATCAATTACACTGCTTTTTTTAAGAAAACGTAACCTTTATCTGCTCAGTGCACTGAAAAAAAATCTCAGTGTATTTACTAAGAAAAAGGTAAAATTACCAAGAATTCAGGGTTCTATTTGATCCCAGTTTTTTCTTGGTAAAATTACCATTTATGGAATTGGTAAGTTCAATAATTTTACCGAGATTTCTCGGTAAAATTATTGAACTTTCTCGGTAATTTTACTGGACCTTGGTAAAAACGCCAATATTTTTTATCGACCGTGGTAGAATTACCGAGATAAATTGGCAAAGTTACCGGGAATTGATTACCAATAAAAGTGGTATTCTTACCTGAAAAAAAACAGTAAAAATACCGGTTTTAGGTAAGCTTACCAGTCTGTCTTGGTAAGATTACCAATAATTGGTGAAAAAAGTGAGATGGTAAAGGTACCAACGGACCTTGGTAAAAACGCCGAGAATTTTTTTTCAGTGTGCGCCAATTTTAAATCTTTCCCATTTTTGCACCCCCCCTCCCCCATTGATTTAAACGCCCGCGCTATTACATTGAAGCCATCATTCGGAATATGGCATCTGATCGGCTGATGGAATGATGAGCTACTCTCCTCACTCACACCTCAACATCGTGTAAACGCACCTGACCCACGACATGACATGACGTGGTCAAGCGAGCGATAGGTGGGAGCGTGGTGTGAGTCTAGGAGTCCGGGAAAGTCAGAGGAGAGGAAGGGGAAGAAGGGGGGGGGCTGGACTTCGATCAGGGTGTTTTTGCGGTTGCCCCGATCGCGGGGGAATCAGTAAACAGAGGTGTGTGCTTTTCAACGGGATATCAAAACTCGAATCAGGAGTGATCATTTCAGTACCCGCTTCCGATCAGCAACGACATGGCCTTCAAACACGTCTCCTTGTACCTCACCCTCTTGGTCTCTGTCCAGGTATGCAAGTTACTTCTGAAGATTATTGGAAATAAAACATTGTTGAGCGTATTGCATTAATTATCAATGTAAATATAATTTAATAAACTAAGCTCTGTGATAGGTATAGACCATTGCAAACTAGATCATTATGAGCCCAGGGTGTACCTGTTTGTGTGTAAGGGAGTGTATCTTTCTGTGACCCCCCCGCCCCCGCACAGTGGATCGATTCAATTAGTGAGGTCGGACATTCATTTTTTGACTAAATCTGTACATTTTGATGTTTATTTCGTCACATTTTAAATTTTAAGGGGTGCTTAAGAAAGACAATTTCACGAGGAACCCAATGAAACCCTTTTTAGAACCTGAAAGTTTTGTATAAACGGAGTTATAAGCTTTTGAAGTTTCCAAATTTTTTCCGACCTCTCCTATTGACTCGATCCACTACGCCCCGGTTGAAAATCAAAGAATATATCGATGGCAAAACCGCAGAAATACGTAACTCGGTTTGCGGCTTTGCAGACTTCCAGTCGTAGTTTATTTTCTGCATGAAAAACTACTGAACGCTATTTTTTGAAAATCTCAGTGATTTTTTTTTTTTTTTTTTATAAAATGTATTCTGTGGAAACTTTAAGTCATGTTGTTGGTTCGGTCTTCCTTTTAGAAAATAAAATAGGAGCAGATATTTCGACACAGCGCAACCGAGATACGCATTTTTGCATAGTTTCACCGTCGATGTATATTCAATGCATCGATCCCAAAATCAGATTGAGCCGATCCTATTCTGATCAAAAAAAATTTAAGTGACGAAGTCGGACAAAGTGTACTTTAAGGTGGGGATAAAATTGAGACATTAGTTTGGAAGCGATCTTTCTACATCATTTGACGTAAAGAACATAAAAAAAGAGCACGTAGGATCAAAAGGGTAAAAAGTCACTTCTTTCAACTGCCTGCAAAAAAACCTAACTGTTTTAGCACGATACATTAGAGCTGAGCTTAAATTACATTTCAGAACTAGTATGATTAGACCTGACCAACTCAAGAAGAATATTCGATCTATCATTTGAAATATTTTCTGAACAGAAAAATGAATGTTTGCCTTCTCTGATTCTGACTTTTTTTCTATTATACAATTCCTATTTGGATTTACGCACTTTTGATCCAAACACTTCAATGACTTAACCTCACAAATGGACGCATTAAGCATAAAGGAACCAAGTGACATAAGTCGTTCCCAAATTTCATTGATCGGTACATTTTTTTTTAAACGAAGAACAGTGGTGTGGATTTTTTTTGAAAATTTTCGGAGATTCCCTGTATGAAGTGAGCCAAATTGCCTGAAATTTTCCAAAGAATTTGTCCAACTGTTTTCCTGTAAACAAATAATTGTTTGATGAAATTTGGCAGTAACTGATGTGTCTTAATGCCTTTCTGTCTCTGCGGTCATGCATAGGTGCTGAATTTTACTTTATTTCTGGGGGAGGGCTACTGCCTTAGACAGTCCCGTAACTCAGTAATCTCCCCCCCCCCCCCGATAGTATCACTAGATTTTCTGACTTGTGAAAATCTCCTCTATCTCTTGAAACGCTCGTCCGATTTGGCGCGACCTAAAACTCCTGAATGAGACCAAGCGAGTAACTCCGAACAATATTTTATCTTGCTGTTCGGGCTAAATTTTTCTCACAGGCAACGTCTAAGCACGATATTTCAATCATTATTCCCGACCAAAATTATACGCTGAATTGTAGCCGAATTGAGTCCGTTAGTCTCAAATTTCTATAGTACAATGTTTCTTGTTATCCCGATGGATGAAAATGCCCGTTAATTTTACCAAAAGAGGTCCATCCGGCATTCGGAGACCTTTTCCCCAAAGTTAAGGGGGAATGTCTCCCTCTTGGCTAGTCCGTTTCTGTAATAATATCCAGCGCATAAGGGAGTCTGCATGGCTCTCTGGAAAATTTTGAAAATTTAACCTACTCAAAATTCCAACGCACGCGATCTTTGCTAATGAAGTTATTAGATTTAGGCATACTTATAATTGACACTTATACCGCTAGAAATCAGTGAGAATTTTCCAAGTTTTAGTCTCCTCTTCCTAAAGAACAGTGGAATTTTACCAGAATCTCTCTCTCGAGAGAAAACAGGCTTCGTCTCCGAATCGGAATCGGCAATCCGGAGTTTTTTCTGAAGGTTTCGAAAGGGCTTTTTGTCTCATTAGGGCTCAATTTCAACATTTTTGAGGCCTCTAATGTCGTCTTAAGATTGAATAAATTTAAAAGTTAATGGTTTTTCCCCTAGAAGTATTCTTTACAATGAGCTATTTAAACCCCCCTTTTGTTCCTCTCTAACTTTTTTAATGTCATCTCTATTAATTTTTGAAAACATGTTCATTTCGAACTTTGATCGTGTGTAGAATTTATGAACGGAACAAATCTCACGAATGAAAATCAAAAAAGACTTCCAGTTTGCGCTAAAAGTTTTCTTCTTTCTCTCTCTTTCTCTTTTAAGCGGCGTATCTAAGAAGAGGATTCCCACTCGAACATTTTCAAATTGGTTCCAGGTAGGCGTCCGGGGATGGAATGTCGGAAATTATGAATGAAATGAAATTATGAATGAATGAAATTTTGCATACGCGAAAAAGTAGCGTATTTCTGCCAATCAGAACTATGCTGCCGTGCTAAAGAAGAACGCCGTATGAGCATTCGATAGTTGTCAAATTTCCCCCGATAAAACATGTATTATAGAAGAAAATTTTGCATATTTTTCTTTGAAATTTTCAGTCGTTATAGATTCAACAAGACTGCGAACAAAATCGTCAGAGAAATTCGAAGAAAAAACATTTAAAACTTCCTTAAAAACTTAGTTTTTTAGCAAATGAAATTTGACAACGCCTCAAGGTTCATACGGCGCGACGATTTTCCTTAGCACGGCAGTATGTGCGAGTTGGAAAGATGGAGTGCGCTCCTAACTTTTTTTCGGGGGTGGGGGAGGGGGGCAGATTAGAGGTGCTCTCTATACGAGAAGGCAGGAAATGCGTTTGAAACTGCGTTATTTGCCTAACGCATAGACTGTTTTCAATGGCGGATTTGACCTAGGCGCATACATTGATTGATATTTCTTTGTGAGGGAGGAATTTAAATCCACAGTTTTATGTTCTTCTAAACTACGAACGTTAATTTCTCTGCATTAATTTTTGAAATTTGTGATATGTTCAACTGATTTTGCGTGAAGTTTTGATGTATGAGAAAGGATGTATACGTGTAATGTGGTGCTGTATATCTTTCCGTGTCTGGTAGTTCATTGTCAAATGAGTCGTAACGCTTCTGTTTCAAAGATTTCTATCTTTAAACACGCAGAAGCAAAAGGGCGTAACGCTCTCCTCGCCCCTTCTCCAGATCAGTACATATAATATGAACGGACCCAACTTATGACTACGAAAGAGGAAAGGGAGTAAAAAAAATTATCTCCTTTTCTCGGAGTCCCTGGTAAAAATTGCCGATAGGAGCTGCGTTTCAAAATACCATAGAAGTTCTTATAGCCGACTAAAGAAGGCTATTGATAGCTGACTGTAGAAAGCGGAGCAAATCATATAGCCGGGCTATACAAAGCTATAAAAAAGTATACAGTCGGGCTATAGTTCTTATCGCCGGGCTTCACACTTTATCGCCATTGGCTATAAAAGGCTGAAAGAAATTGTGTAGAAATTCGTGTGCTTTGGGAATCATCACTTAAGTTTGATACGGAACTACCTTAATATTTGCAAAACACACATTATATTCTCCTTTAAAACATTTTTTTTTTCATCAATTAAAATGAGAATAGTCCATACAGAGTGTGCAAACATTTCAAAATCATGAGTTGGAAAACGCTGACTCCGCGAGATTAAATATTAGAGCCTAACACAAAGCGGAGCGGCGACGCACTGGCGTCTACAAACCTAATAGGGATACTTCACGCATTGCGCAATGCGTGAAGTATCCTCGTTAGGTTTGTAGGCGCTAATGCGCGTTTCGCGCTGGCTGCCCGCCTGCCGCACCGCAGCGTGCCACGGCGCTTGAAGCAACTATTTCACACCAGANCTTCCAGTTTGCGCTAAAAGTTTTCTTCTTTCTCTCTCTTTCTCTTTTAAGCGGCGTATCTAAGAAGAGGATTCCCACTCGAACATTTTCAAATTGGTTCCAGGTAGGCGTCCGGGGATGGAATGTCGGAAATTATGAATGAAATGAAATTATGAATGAATGAAATTTTGCATACGCGAAAAAGTAGCGTATTTCTGCCAATCAGAACTATGCTGCCGTGCTAAAGAAGAACGCCGTATGAGCATTCGATAGTTGTCAAATTTCCCCCGATAAAACATGTATTATAGAAGAAAATTTTGCATATTTTTCTTTGAAATTTTCAGTCGTTATAGATTCAACAAGACTGCGAACAAAATCGTCAGAGAAATTCGAAGAAAAAACATTTAAAACTTCCTTAAAAACTTAGTTTTTTAGCAAATGAAATTTGACAACGCCTCAAGGTTCATACGGCGCGACGATTTTCCTTAGCACGGCAGTATGTGCGAGTTGGAAAGATGGAGTGCGCTCCTAACTTTTTTTCGGGGGTGGGGGAGGGGGGCAGATTAGAGGTGCTCTCTATACGAGAAGGCAGGAAATGCGTTTGAAACTGCGTTATTTGCCTAACGCATAGACTGTTTTCAATGGCGGATTTGACCTAGGCGCATACATTGATTGATATTTCTTTGTGAGGGAGGAATTTAAATCCACAGTTTTATGTTCTTCTAAACTACGAACGTTAATTTCTCTGCATTAATTTTTGAAATTTGTGATATGTTCAACTGATTTTGCGTGAAGTTTTGATGTATGAGAAAGGATGTATACGTGTAATGTGGTGCTGTATATCTTTCCGTGTCTGGTAGTTCATTGTCAAATGAGTCGTAACGCTTCTGTTTCAAAGATTTCTATCTTTAAACACGCAGAAGCAAAAGGGCGTAACGCTCTCCTCGCCCCTTCTCCAGATCAGTACATATAAAATGAACGGACCCAACTTATGACTACGAAAGAGGAAAGGGAGCAAAAAAAAAATATCTCCTTTTCTCGGAGTCCCTGGTAAAAATTGGCGATGGGAGCTGCGTTTCAAAATACCATAGAAGTTCTTATAGCCGACTAAAGAAGGCTATTGATAGCTGACTGTATGAAGCGGAGCAAATCATACAGCCGGGCTATACAAAGCTATAAAAAAGTATACAGTCGGGCTATAGTTCTTATCGCCGGGCTTTACACTTTATCGCCATTGGCTATAAAAGGCTAAAAGAAATTACGTAGAAATTCGTGTTCTTTGGAAATCATTACTTAAGTTTGATACGGAACTACCTTAATATTTACAAAACACACATTATATTTTCCTTTAAAACATATTTTTTTTTCATCAATTAAAATGAGAATAGTCCATACAGAGTGTGCAAACATTTCAAAATCATGAGTTGAAAAACGCTGACTCCGTGAGATTAAATATTAGAGCCTAACACAAAGCGGAGCGGCAACGCACTGGCGCCTACAAACCTAACAGGGATACTTCACGCATTGCGCAATGCGTGAAGTATCCCTGTTAGGTTTGTAGTTGCTGGCTGCCCGCCCGCCGCGCCGCAGCGTACCACGGCGCTTCATGCAACTATTTCACACCAGAAGTATTGCACAGTATTATACGAAATTGAAGGCGCTCCAACATATTAAGAATGACAGGCATCCTTCAAAAGTACGGAGCTTTCCTCCAAAATAAATCAAGATACTACGGCACACAAAGAGAGCGGTAGTCCAAAAACTAACTTACAATTAGTCCTAGTACCCGTAATTAGTAACGTTTAGCATAAACTTTATCGTCTGGCTGTTGCTTAATCGCCATCGGCTATGAAAGGCTATAAGAAATTGTACAGCCGGCTACAGAAGCTATTGGAAATCTTACAACCGGCTTTAGGTCTATAGTATTTTGGAACACACATTCTACTGCCAATTTTTACCAGGGGTTACTTTTCTTGTTATTTGTTCCATACAAGAATTGAAGAAATTTAAATTGTTTCAAGAAAAAAGTGTAAATGTAAATGTCATTATTGTACGGATTAAATGTTGAGACATGTTTAATCAATGTTGCAAAAGAAGGAAAGTCTTGTAATTAGATTGAAAATAAGATGGAAATAATATTTCATTCGAAAAGGTTATAATTTTTGCAGAGAATTTTATTATCATTCTCTGACACAGGAAAACGATGCTGCAAATGATATCGGCAATCAAGCTGATTCATCATTCACCTATTTGTCCATCTTGAACCTATCTGACGAGGGATGTGGATTTCTTGTTTGTCTTGCAGACTGTAAATTTTATCAGAATAAAATGAATGAACAGTATGGTTCATCAAAAAGAAATGTATAGGTAAATAGTTGACACAAGGGTCATTGATAGCGTTATCTCCTTAATAGAGGAATACTGCTGAATAATTTGACAGCCGAGTCATGGATTTCCCGCACTTTGCTATCAATTATTGATTGATAGCTAGGCATGGAAAGTTACTCGTCTAGGAGTCTCTTGAATTCATACCGCGGGGTGAACTGGATTACAATTTTTTTAAGCTCATTTGGTGCAATATTAGACTTAGTTATAGCTGTTCGAGTATATTGCAAGCTACTTAACCGGGGGGTGGGGTCCTAAGTTTGTCTTAGGGGGGTTTCCAAGAGAGGAGGGATGGTCAAGTCCGATCTCACGTTTGCTATTCACTAATAAAAAGTTGAGGGATGATAAATATTTCAAATTTTTCCCCGTTTTTCTAGAAAATTGGAGAGATCGGGGGATCAGGACTTTATGCCGTAATTAAAAAGGATGGGGGGGTGAAAGGTTGTCTAAGGTTGGTGCCTCGTGAGGAGGAAAGAAGAGGGTCAAAAAGTCAACTAAATTGGCCTGTGTGATACCTAAACGGCAATTTACGCTTAGATATTCTCAGTTGGCAATTTTTGATTATTATCGTTATACTCGTAAATTCAGATGATTAAAATATAATAACATAACTGAAAAAATTAGTCCGAAAACGTAACTTATTAAAAATTAGAACAAGCTGTCACCAAAAAAATCTTAGTTTTTCCCTTATTTTGAATTATATACTAAAAACTCAATTTATTTAGAACGCATATGTAAGTTTGATACCGGCGGTTTTACTTGTTCATTTTTAGCAATCCCATTAGAAATTTCGTCTCTACTTTGACTAAAGATACTTAAGTTCTCCACTTATGCTTAAAATTGGACTTTAGCTCTGGTGATTCAGTTACTTTGACTTCTAGTAGAAAACCGTATCGGAAGTTGAGCATAAAATTCAGTTTTTTTTACATTTTTTGCGGTGGCGTGCCGTACTTTTCGACGTATAGATTGGCATGCCATTTAAACCTAAGGGGAAGGATCGATAAACAGGGTGTTCGCGACAAACACCTGAATAATTGTACCGAAAAAAAGGATGCTGATTAAACATTCCAGATGTAAAAAAAGTATGCGACAACTCACAAAATGCTGGATAAACTCGCCACAGCAGTTATTTATACATCTTGACATCGCGAAAGTAACTGTTGTAGCGTTTAATTAAGCGTTATGTGAGTTGTCACACACTTTTTTACACCTCGAATGTTAAATCAGCTTTTTTTTCGGTGTGATTTTTTACCACAATTCAAAATGGGAAGATATCGATAATCGACCAATCACGCCTCATCACTGATTATTTAATCAGATAGGTTCACTTGAAAACTACAGCGGACCCTCTAGTCCAGATTGCAAGTCACCATAGACGTGATATTTTCAATTTGTATTTTCCCTTTGTTATAATATCTTGTTTCAAGCTCATTTTTTTTTGCTCTAGGCTCAGCAATTATCTTGAAAATTGACCAGAAACGTCATGATGAGAAGCATTTTTAATATATGTTATTTTGGTGACAGGTTTGCCTGGCTGGACCAACCACTACCCCTGCACCTTTTACCTTGCCGACATTCGCAGAACTTCTCACCAACGCCCAGAAATCCATCAATGAAGCTGCCTCTCATGTGCAACATATGCTGGGCATGCCTGAAGTGAAGAATGTTGACCAGATTGTTGCCGTCGTGAAAAACGCATCGGTAGACTTCACCAAAAAAGTCAACGATGTTCTAACGACCGTCAAAACAGAGGTACGTGAGTTCACCGATTACCCATCCAGTGGATCGTATTCGATAGGGGTTCGATGTATCGTTCGATTCAAAACAATAGAACACAACCTCAAACCAAAATTGTAGGATATTTGTCAGAAAAGCTGAAAATGAGAAATATCGATAAATACTCATACGAATAAAAAATCTATCACAAAAAAACCCGTTCCGTCACATTACTCAATTGACTTTTGAGGCTATGCTTATGTTTTGAACCAATCGATATCGATGCAATCTCACCCGTTCGATGTATCGAATACGATCTATGTCGAATATTTTTTCCCGAAGATGCCCGGGAGGATCAATAGTACGTCACGCACGGTGGATCGAGTCAATAGGAGAGGTCGGACAGAATTTGGAAACTTCGACAGCTCATAACTCCGTTTATGCAAAACTTTGAGGTTCTAAAAGTGGTTCCATTGGTTTCCTCGTAAAATTTTCTATTTTATGCACCCCTTAAAATTTAAAATGCGGAGAAAAAAAATTCAAAATTTGCAGTTTTAGTAAAACATTTCATGTCCGACCTCTTTGATTGACTCGGTCCTCTAAGCGTTGTTTGGATCGCACCGGTGCGGTTCGATATTGTGTGCATTAACTCATGAGCCCTAAGACCCATTAGAATACATGCATAACAGGGCTCACGTCATTATGCACAGAGTTCCGTTTGGTAGAAATGGGTCCAATAAAACCAAACCACCAAGTTCTCTCCGTCAGCCATTTGAGATCAACGATGCGCTCTGGGCTGATGCAGAAATCGTATTGACTCTCAAAAACATGCTATCGAAAAAAATTGCCTTGGTTTAAATATTGATTCGCAGTATGCAAGTGCGATGCTTTTTGAATATGTTTGACGCATACTTTTATCGGATTCTGCTTATTGATCCTAATTATAGACGGCCGGGTTGGCCCAGTTGTCAGCGGATCTGACTCTAAGTCAGTAGGTTCCGGGTTCGAATCCCGGTGGTGGCGGCATATTTTCAAGGAACTGACGTGTGGATCTGCTGAAACGGACTCCACTCGGCCTAGATTCGTGACAATTTGAAAGGCCTAGAGCATGGATGTGTCTATCGCCCTAATGTCTAGTTTCGAATAAAATGTAAGCCAAGTAACCAGCAAAAAAAAAGAAAAATCCGAAATATAATGCTTTCTATACTTTTTCCTTCTCGTGAAGTAAAATGCGAGATTTTAAAATGCCTAAGGCATCCAAATGGCCACATTGGAGCTTTTGCATGCGTCAGGGATTTGTGATTTAAGGTGATCCGACGGAAGCCATTTTTTGTATCAGAGCGACATGCGATATAACGCATCAATTAGCTGCAATGCTGCATGTTTTCAGATACTTGTAATTTTTCTCCAATTTTGAAATTGCATTTCTGTTGCCACGGGACTAAAAAATTCAGGTACTAAATTTGACGAACGATTTCAACATAATAAATGCAGGGTTTTTAAGAGGAAAAATATCGCATTCGAGTGCAGTTTATCAGTATCGAATGCGATATCTGCCCTTAAAAAACCACGCAATTTAAATTTCTTTGTTAAAATTGGCGCGTGAATTTTTTAGTCTCATGACAATAAAATCACGATCTCAAAATTCGAGAAAAATGACGAGTGGCTGATAAAATGGAACCAATCAGTGCGATATATCGCATGTCGTCGTGACACACAATATCGTCACCTTCCAGGCAAAGTATCACAAGCGCCATGCGACGTTTAAAAATTTCCGCCGCCATTATATTTTTTTACAGAGAGATTGTTCAACGAACCTGTCCGAAAATTACACCGAATTTTCTTTGTGCTGCCGTTAAAATTTAGTGAAATTTTTGAACAGATTCAACCAACAATTTCTCAGTAAAAAAATAAAATGGCGGCGGAAATTTTTAAACATCGCATGGCGCTTGTGATACTTTGCCTGGAAGGTGACGATATGGCGTCCATCGAGTCACCCTACGTGCTTTTTTCAATGTTAACTTTCACGAGCGGCAAGGCACAACGACAATCGAGGTACATGGTTCGGCAGTTTTACTGTCGATATGTTGTGTTGGAACAATGAGTGTGCCTCGTGACATCATTCTCGAAAACGAAAATTGCAGCTAATTTAAGGAAACGCACATCGCTTAACGCACACGTAACTGCTGACAATTTATGGCATGAAATCTGTTTGCATGTCCATTTGGTCCAAATTGGCAATTATGTTACATGCTACGTGCTGGCTAAGAGTCCAATATCCGCGTGCGTGTTCATCGGAGCAATCCGTTGAGCGCATCTTAACGCCAGATTAAGACCGTGATTTGCAAGCGGATGCGCTATCTAACTTTGATTAATTAGAACTGAACTGATTGGAGCTCTACATGCCTCAGGGTTTAAATAATCCTGAAAATTTAAAATTCTCGTGAGAAACACAAAAAGCCACTGGTTTTCTCTCGGCGAACTTCAAAATCCAAAGGAAGCTTTCGAAGTTGAGGCCATAAGGAAGGATATCTCCGACAACGCTATACACTGAGGGTCCACCTGCACATCCATTTACCCTCGCTATGCACGGATAGGGAGTAGACACTTCAGTAGAGTTGCAGCCTTGATGCTCTAAGGCTACAATCATGGCTAACCTACTAATGTGTTTGCTTCCTATCTTCGCATGGAGTTCTCCATACAGAGGTGGACCCTAAGCATTGAAGCGCAGGGAATGGATAAAAAAAAGAGATGGTCGCATTTTGAGGATTTTTGTACCTTCTGACATAGGTATATATAGGTACATTATGGCATCGATATCCCAGCAAAATCCGACATTCACAGCATGAAAAACGGACCATAACGTTCGTTTTTTGTCTACTTAAACTCAAAATATAATTTCAAACACTTTATACAGTATGACTATATTCCATAAAATACACTGCTTTGAATTTAGCCAGTTTGAGATTAGGCATGAATGGTATGAGTAATATGGGTAAGCTACGAAACTTGCGAGCGAAAACAACTCATCGAAAATGAGGATTTCGTGGGACCCACTAAATTGCCTGCGATGCTTTTTCCTTTTATGTTTTTTATGTTTTTTTATGTTTTTATGTGATTCATGTGCATTTGCAGCATGTAGCTTTCTTGTTTTTTTGTGGCATGAGCAGGTTCGGTTTCATAAAGATCAATAAGGTGAATCTTCAGCTGCAGTTCCGAAAAAAATCCACCACATTGCGCAGTTAAAATCTGGCGCCGAAATCAGTGATTATTATTTAAACATCACGACACAAATATTGAATTCTAAGACTCATAGGTTCTGGCAGCATGCAATGCAGTTTGAAATGTTCAAAAACAAACGAAAGCTTTGAGAGTTGAACAATAACGGATAAAACTTGATCCCAGTTTCGCAAGAGCAAAAACATCAAAACACAGCGGTGGCGTCCCCTGCGCGGAAAAAAATGTTACTACGACCCGTTGAAGATTCATCTTAAATAAACTGAACTTTCTCTCTTTCCCTTCTCTTTATTCTCTCTTTTCCCGCTTTCTCTTGTGCCTCGTTGTGAGGTGGGTTTCAGACTCCGACAAGTGGAGCTCTCGCATGTGTCAGGCATTTGCGATTTATGAACTAATTCCCATGTTGAATTTCGCGCGCAACACGATGATGCCACTGGTTTGCTGTGAGGACAACTTCAAAGCTCAAAGAAAGCTCTCAAACTTGAGGCCGTAATGTAGTGGATATCTCACGCTCCCCTCAGAGTCCACCTCTACATCAATGAGTTCACCTCCTTATGAAAAGACAGGGAGCAAATACATTGACAGGGTTGCCACTTTATTCGGGGACTCCAAAACTGAAAACCCGGAAAGCCTGCCTGAATGTATTTGCTCCCTATCTTTGCATGGAAAGTTTGGCTGGATGTAGAGGTGGACTCTCAGGGTGGCAATGGATATCCCCTCCATTCCGGCTTCAACTTTAAGAGCTTTTTTGAGTTTTGGAGTTGATTCTAGAGAAAACCAGTGGAGCCATCGTGTCTCTTGCGAGATTTTACGTAAATGAAAGTACTTAAATCGCAAATCCGTCACTCATGCAAGAGCTTCATTCGGGTATACCACCAGGGGTAAGACACCCCTTCCCCTCCCCCTTCTCTTCAAACCCCCCTC